AGGATAAGCATTAACTTCCTTTCTCTATGTCTCTCCTCTTTTATCTGCTTGTGAAATTGAACTGCTGAAATTCAGGTTTCTTTCCCCGTTTCAAATCAGTGTGGGGGGGTGTGCATATACATACTCCATACATTTTCATAGATAGGATAAAATCTTGGAGAGTAATTGGCTTCAGCTTCCTCATATTACATCTGATATAGTTGAGGCCCAGAGATGTTAAGTAATTTCCCAGGGTCTCAATTAGGTAATAAATACAGAATATATTTTAGAAATCTAATCGACCTTGGTGGTGCTAGAAATTGAGCCCAGGGAGTCAAGCATGCTAGGCAAGCACTGTGCCCACTCAGCCACATCCCCAGCAGCAATCTAGTCTTCTTGACTGTTATCATGACTATGTTTAGGCACTCTTTTGTAGAAAGAGTAAACAGACCATGCTTGCCGATTGCAAATTTTATCACTAGCAAAATGAGTTTCAAACACTTGTAGCCCTGAAAGAGAAAATCTCTATGAATATATTGTATTCATTGCTTTAAAAGTCATCATACTTCTTTTCAATCTCTTAAATACTCGTTTCTCAGTCATCTTTTTCTTCTTGAAACATCCAGTTCTGGTAGGGAATGAACAAAAAGAGTGAGAGTGCTCTTAGTCTTAAACATTAATAATGCATAAAGAAGTGCATTTTTTAGTAGAAGGGGTTATGTATCGCCTCATGCTATGTTCTTTTTTCCATTTCCTCTTTCTGTGCAAAGCACTTTGTGGCCAAGAATTACAACTTTTTCAGTTTTTATAAAGTAGTAAGTATACTAACCAGGATCATTTGAGGCATTTTGTATTTATCTCACTCATATGAAGGCTACTTTGCAACTTCTGTCTTTATTTCTTTATTATTGTTGTGCTTGGTGGGAGTACATTGGAGTATTTACAAAGGTTCTTAATAATGTATCGAATATATCATACTTGAATTCACCCCCTCCAATGCTCTCTCTCACCCCCCCTTCCTGGAACAGTTTTAATAGGTAACATTTTTGTGTTTACATACATGCGTATACATTAATTATTTGCACCATATGCATCCTCCTACTCCTTTCCCCCTCCTGTCCCCATACCACCCCCCCAACTCTGTCTTGCTTGAAATGGTGATCGTGATTCCTGTCAAGATGTGTTTATATTTTTATTTTTGAAGCTAAAACAGGAGCTACAATTGTCTATTTAATATACTTGTGTATTGGCAACATACAAATCTTATTAGTTCCTTATTAGATGGAATTACACACAGACAAATGTGTAACATTACTTTAGGAGGCCTGAGGTGTGAAGGTATTGACTTGAGAGAAGGACTTGAAGTATGGTGACAATGACTGTCAACCAGTCTTGACTACAAAAATTGATAATACGTATAGAATCAGTAGTTGATTATGGGGAAGTTTAAGAGGAGAAGAGGAAGGTGGAAACAACAAATTTGCAGTTACTTAGATGTGCATGGTTAGAGTTAAAGAAATCCAAAATGATCTCCTTCTTCAAACACTGTGTTCAAGAAAAACCTGTGTGACTTGCTACTATTGGGATTTAGGAATGAAAAGTCCTGTCTTCAGGGCCTTTACAAAAACTTGGAACAGTTGTGTTCTTTTGTGGACCTTTGAAGAACTGTTAGAATACATTGTATGAATTGAAGTAACTGCTGACAGAATTTTGAAAAGTATTGATTACTTACGTGTTAAGACAGGTTCTGCTAATTAAATTTTGCCCTATGCATTTCGGAGACTGAGCCATAAGCCTTGGATTTTAAAATGTTACTGAATGGGGGCTAGCAGAGTGGCTAAAGTGATAATGTGCCTGCCTCGCAAGCATGAGGCTCTGAGTTCAAAGCCTGATACCTCAATGAAAAAAAAGAGTCATCAAATGGAATTTCAACTATATCTGTTGGAAATGCTCTCACCCATGGACTTTTATAGACTCATTATTTCCTCTTAAGTATGATGCTTATAGCACACATCTCTGGAGGTTTTAAGAAATACATGCTGGCTTTTGGAGGAGATGCATCCTTGAGTAGGAAAATGTCTTAAATTGATCTTCAGTACTATTTCAGTCAGCACTTTGAACTGCTCTTAGGTTCCTGGTGCCATTATATCCTTGTGGTCAATAACTATCCTCCTTTTGTGGCTTACTTCACAGATTTATAAAAGCATCCTGTCCATTTTTATTTTGTTATTATATTTTGTCTGTGATCCAGCATAGTACTAGATACTTGGTAGATTTTCAGTGGAAAATTATTTGAAGAGCAAAGAAGGGTGGTAGGTATAAGAAAAGGTGAAGTATTCAGTTGACTGGAACATACTATTGAAGAATTAAGAAATTAGTTAGCAGGGTAGGTTTGGACTAGGTTAGTGGAAAGTCTTAAAACCCATGCTAAGGAAATTGGTGCTGTGGAAATTGTTTTTCCCTTCCTTAGATGCAGTTAAATATGGTAAGATTGGATATGCATAGGAAGAGACCAAAAACTGAAATTTAAAATTTCAAGTAGGCAGTTGAAGGTAGCAGGGAATTTGTATTAGAATAATAACATATTCTAATATTATATTAGATAGTTGGTGGCTTATGCCAGTAAACAAGCAGTAGAGTACCTGTTTTGCAAGCACAAACCCCTGAGTTCAAATCCCAGTCCCCCCAAAAAAGAATATAATTCAAAGCAGGATTGATAGTTATCAGTGAACTTGACTAATAAGTCAGATATGCAGAACAAGGGAAATGAAGAAGCCATGATGACTCTTAAGGTTTTGAGTTTGTGGTAATTAAGACATACTGTTGTCTCACATCTGTAATCCTAGCTTCTCAGGAGGCAGAGATCAGGATTACGGTTCAAAGCCAGCCCAGGCAAATAGCTCATGAGACCCTACCTTGAAAGACCCTTTACAAAAATAGGGCCAGTGGAGTGGCTCAAGGTGTGGGCTCTGAGTTCAGGCCCCAGTACTGCAGAAAAAAAAACTGTCACAGGTGACATGAAGAAAGAACATATTTGAGAACGAAGATTAGTTTAATTCTGAACATGTTTTGAGTTGCTGGCATTGTGTAGAGAAGTAGAAAAGTTGTAAAGCTACCAAAGCCCAAGATTTGGGAATTATTTGCAAAGTAGTTTTTGAAGTCGTAAGATTGCAAAGAGAAGAGTGTATATAGAGAAAGAATGGAATATGGCACAGAGCAAGTTCTTGGGAAGTATCTTTGAAGAGACTGGAAAGACAAGCCAAAGAAAAAAGAAAACAAACTAACAGAGGACATCCTAGGGAAAACCAATTAAGATTTTTCAGGAAGAAGTAAAATTCACAAACCTGTTTTGTTACATGTATTTGTCCTTTGGTTGATATTGTGAAGGATTTGGTTCTAGACCCCAGCTGATAACAATAACACAGATCCCCAAGTCCCTTATTGAAAATTGCAAAGTATTTATGTATCTTCCCTGTATACTTTATAAAGATCATTTCTAGATTACTTATAGTACCCCATACAGTGTTAATGCAATGTAAATAGTTGTTATACTTAATGAACAGGCTGAGAAGGAAATCAAGAAAATTACTGCATTCATGATAGCCTCAAAACAAAACAAAACCTATCATAGTTAGTAGCTGGTTTGGTGTACAATAGTTTCTAAAGCATTTGTATCCTGTTATGTGACAATAACGTTCAAGATAGCAATGATAATCTGATCAAAGTGCATACTTAAAAGTAGAGACATCATCTTATAAAATTGGTACTGTGCAGCATCTTTAAATCATGTCCATTACATAGGGGTTATTAGGACAAAGTTAACTAATTGTTAAGAGCAATGGCACAATTAGCACTTGCACAGATAGTGTTACGTGGTTTGAATGTTAGCATTTCATTTGATAAAGGGAGAGGTATTTTAGTAGAATTTGGGAAATTTTAGTATCGTTTTTGAGGTCTGATTAATGAAAATTTTTATTAGATCTGGATAGTTAAATAGTTCTTGTTTAAGAATATTTTTGTATTTCTTTTATTCATATGTGCATACAACGTTTGGGTCATTTCTCCTCCCTTCCAAAATAACTTATGCATAGCAAGAAATAATGTTTTCCTTTTGCTGGGGAGGGTGTTTTGCTTTTTTTGGGGTGGTGATGGTACTGTTTTTGTTGTTGCTGCTGCTGTTCTTTGAGACAAGGTCTCACTATGTAGTTCAGGCTGACCTGGAACATGGAATCTTCCTACTGGAGTGTTGGGATTATAAATATGATCCACCAAGCCCAGCTTCATCCCCAACCCTTTTCTGCAGTTGAATGGTTATAGCAGTGCACATGTTCTTCAGCTTATTTGTTAAGTTCTTTCATCTGTGATACTAAAATAAATTTGTTAATATTACTTTGTGTTCAGTTATTAGACCTCATTAATATGTGACTGTGAGGGTTTTTTTTTTGTTTGTTTGTTTTCTAACTTTCTATATAACATCTGTTTGAGGGAGGGGACAGAAGGGAGTCTATTGAATGTGATAGTCCTTTTTTTGTGTGTGTGGTACTGGGTAAACTCAGGGCCAGCTCTTTTGTGTTGGGTATTTTTGAGATAGGATCTGAGAACTATTTGCCCAGGCTGGCTTCAAACTTTGATCTTCCTGATCTCTGCCTCCTCAGTAGCTAGGATTACAGAAGTGATCTACCTGCCCTGGCTAGTCCTTTTTGTTTGTTTGTTTTTTCGATACGGGATTTGAACTCAGGGCTTCACACTTGCAAGCACTCTACTACTTGAGCCACACCCCAGCTATATCTTTCATCTGATGTTAGAGCAAAACAATTTCCAAAGACCTTATCTGAATAGCACATTCCATCCTTTCTTTTTCTATAATTCTGTATATCCTTGTACAATATTGGCCAGAAAGTGTATTTGAAGAGGTTCTTACCAAATTTATTGTTAATATTAACAATATTAATTTGATATTTTGTGTAGTAAATATAAAATAAAACTGTTTACTTAATTATTATACTTCTCTTCATTTGTAGGCGAAACCTAACCAAACTGTCCCTGATCTTCAGTCACATGCTGGCAGAACTGAAAGGCATCTTTCCAAGTGGACTCTTTCAAGGAGACACATTTCGGATTACTAAAGCAGATGCTGCAGAATTTTGGAGAAAGGCTTTTGGGGAAAAGTATGTCTGTAAATGATGATTTGAACTATAAAAAACTAAAGCTTATGTTACGAGTCCCCCTCCCTACCCCACTACTGGGTTTGAACTCAGAGCCTTGCGCTTGCCGGACAGGCATGCTATCACTTGAGCTACAGCTTGTTTGAAGAGTTTTTAATGTATGAGATACTTAAAATATGAAAAATACTTGAGAAAAATAAGTGTATGGGTACTTCCCACCTTTGGTAAATATTTACATTTTTTTGCCCTAATTATTTTTTAAAGAAATAAAGCTTTGCAGATTCAGTTGAATGACGCTCATGCTCTTTGATTAAATACTCTTCTCTCCCATCCATTTTGCCGTTAGCAGACATTTCCATTTCAGATTATTTGCTATTGCAAACAGTGCTGTGTTGAACACTTAGTTTTTTCCATAAGCATGAATTTCTCCTTCATTATATACCTAAGAGTGGTATTACTGGGTTGTGAAGTTTCACATCTTTTGCTTTGCTAACTGTTGCTTATTTGCTTTCCAACCAGGTTATAGAAGTGTATATTCCCATAAGTAATATGTAAGAGTTCCAGGGCTAGAGGTGTAGCTCAGCAGTATGCTGCTTTGCTAGCATGGGCCCAGCACTGCAGAAAATAAAAATAAACTAATGTTTAGATTGGAAATATGAGGATTGGTAACTCGGTGATATAGTACTTGCCTGACATTTACAAGGTCCTAGGTTCAGTTACCAGTACCACAGAAAGTAAAATTAAAAATTGTGTTTTATAAATAAAATATAGACTTATTTGCAATTTGAACAGCTTAGCTGAGGGAGTTGAGGGTATAGCTCCCTGCGTTCTGTGCTCTGGCTTCAAGCTTCAGCACCATCCCTCCCCCCTAACAAAAAAGCCTAGTTGAAGAAGATAGGTTCAGCTTTATTCCTTTACCTCAATAACTACATTAGAACAGACATCAAGAAAACCGGGCACCAGCGGCTAGCAACTGTAATCCTAGCTACTCAGGAGGCAGAGATCAGAAAGATGGAGGTTTGAAGCCAGCCTGGGCAAATAGTTCTTGAGACACTATCTCAAAAACAAAACAAAACACCACAAAAGACTGGTGGGGGTGTCTCAAGGTGTAGGCCCTGAGTTCAAACCACCAGTACCACCAAAAAAAAAAATAAATAAAATTATGCACCTGATTTCTACATTGTAAATGTATTTTTTCTCATGATCTCTTATTTTCCAGCAGGTAAATACATAAACCTTCCAAAGGCAGTGAGATTGTATTTGTTTTAAAGATAGTGAGAAACATGAATTCCTAATGATGCTTAACTGGCCTTATCTAGGGTTTAATCACTTTGGTTGAATAGTTTCTTCCTCATCTCTATGAGAATCCTGTTCTTTCAGGATGGTGAGCCTATTTCCTCCTGCCTATCTTGCTCTAGTGTGGGTTCCTCAAAGAATACAGAATGTTTTACATGCTTTTAAAATGTTACTTTAAATACAAGCTTTTTAGGGGGAGAGGGAAGAGGGAGAATAATGGAGGGGTTGAAGCAAACCCAGATACATTGTACATCTATATAGAAATGTCACAATGAAACCCCCTGTACAACTATTAAGTACTAATAAAAACGTTTTTAAAAAAGTACAAGCTTTTAGGTAGTAAAGGCCTGGCCCCAGATACATTTCCCCCCCACTCTTTTTTTTAATGTGAGTACCAAACTTTTTTCTGTTTATTTATTTAATCATTTTTACATTTGTTCACATATGTATACATTGTTTGGGCCACCTCCCCTACCCTCACCCCCACACAGATACATTTATTATGCAAAAAAGATAACTTCATCTTTCTTTCTATGCTTCTCTAATAGAACAAATGTATGAAGCAAGATGAGAAAGCAAGATTAATTTATTGCATTCTGCCAAATAGTGGAAAATTACTTCTGTTATTAACTTACTCATTAGACAGTTAAGAAATACATCCTTTCCTGCCTTCTTTCTATTTTCAATCCAGATGCTCACTTTCTGTAAGAGAATTGAAATTGATAATGAGTGTAAGACTTGCTTTCTTTTCCTTGATTATAGCAGTGCCTGAAATTATCTGCTCTCTCATTTTGTGCCTTCTCTTTCACCCCACCCCAGGACAATAGTCCCTTGGAAAAGCTTTCGACAAGCCCTGCATGAAGTGCATCCCATCAGTTCTGGGCTGGAGGCCATGGCTCTGAAATCCACTATTGATCTGACCTGCAATGATTATATTTCAGTTTTTGAATTTGATATCTTTACACGACTCTTTCAGGTATGTTACTAAAAGTGTGGACTAATCTGTCTACTGCTAGTTTTCTGAAGAGAACTCTTTTAAAAATAAAAAACATATAGGGGTTTGTCTATGGTAAAAGTATTTTAATTCATTTTAGAAATTATAATCAAAAAAATGTTAAAAGTTCTCTATATATGTACCTAATCTTTCTTCTCATACCTTTCTTTGATTTTGAATACCCTTAATATTCTTTTGCATCATTTTAATGGTTATAGAACTACCATAAAATGGATATAATTTTTTAATTTATTGTCTGTTATTAGACATTGATATATGTTTCCAACTTTTTTTCCTATTGTATTGAAATTCTTGATTGTTAATGCTGAGACGTATTGAGACTTCAGAAAGTACTCATTTCTTTTCTCCTCTAAAAATAATGTCCTGCCAGTATGTGTATACTAACTTGTATAAACATTTATTTGAAACTTATTAATTGCCTATGTAGACTCTATTCTGGTTTTCTGATTTTTGTTTATCTTGTTTAAACCTCAGTACTGTTGGTGAGGGCTACTGTACAGTTTCTTACATTTCAGTTTGTATAAATTTTCTCCCTAAAAGCATATGTTCTTTTCTTCTTAGATGTTCGAAGTTTTATCTCTTTAACCATATTACAATTGAGAATTTATAATTGAGAATTAGTTTTTTGTTCTTCATTGCTCTGAGGTTGGTTATCGATCTTGAGCAAAATGGTCTGTGCTTACTCTCTTGTTTCTTTAGCCATGGTCCTCTTTGCTCAGAAATTGGAACAGCCTCGCTGTAACTCACCCTGGTTACATGGCTTTCCTGACTTATGATGAAGTGAAAGCTCGGCTCCAGAAATTCATTCACAAACCTGGCAGGTCAGTGCCATGAAGCAAAGAGGTTTATTCTCCTGAATTTTATTCTGTTGTGACTCCTGCTAGAGTAGAGGAAACATCTTTTTATCAGTTCCTCAGTGGTCACAATTTTACAGTAGGGCTCATGTCTGTTTATCAGAGGAATTGTGACTCATTCAAAACGTGTGATTTTTTTTTTTTTTTTTTTTTAAACCTGTGATTTGACAAATGTTTTCAGGTCACTTAAGAATGGGATTAATGCTGGGTGCCTTGTCACACGCCTGTAGTCACAGTAGTTAGAGGTTGAGGCAGGAGGGTTGTTTGTTTGTTTTTGGCACTGGGATTTGTACTCAGAGCCTACACCTTGAGCCACTCCACCAGCCCTTTTTTGTGATGTGTTTTTTTCAAGATAGGGTCTCGTGAAGTATTGCCCAGACTGGCTTTGAACCTCAATCCTCCTGAATAGCTAGGATTACAGGAGGTGAGCCACCAACTGCCAGGATCTTTTGAGACTAGTCAGGCAACTAGTGACAACCTGACTTCAAAAAAGATTGATTTTTTTTTTTCTTTTAAAGTAGTTAGTAGACAAGATTGAATGGCAGGAGTGGCGAAGGTGACAGTAGCAACAATGAGAGGACAATCACATTAGGCTTTTTAAAAATTTTTTCCTTTTTGGTGATACTGGGGTTTGAACTCTGGTCTTCATGCTTGCAAAGCAGGCACTCCCCCACTGAGGCCCTCTAACCCTAAGATTGATGTTTAGATGTCCTTTGTTTCTGTTCTGAAGTCATTGGAGAAGGTAATCTTTTTTTTTTTTTTTTTGTCAAGAAAAGGGAATTTCGGGGTTGAACCCAGGACCATGGGCATGTTCAGTACACACTGATTCCTTTGATTTTTGTCTTTTTTTTTTTTTTTTTTGCAGCACTGGATTTTAAACTCACGACCTCACGCTTGCTAGGCAGGTGCTCTTACCCCTTGAATCAGCCCTTTTGCATCTATCTTTAATTTTTATCCTAAGACCAGCATATATACTAAAACTTGTGTTAATCTCTGTTTTCAGTTACATCTTCCGGCTGAGCTGTACTCGTCTGGGTCAGTGGGCTATTGGGTATGTTACTGCTGATGGGAACATTCTCCAGACAATTCCTCACAATAAACCTCTCTTCCAAGCGCTGATTGATGGCTTCAGGGAAGGCTTGTGAGTACCACTACTTACATTTTCTGCTTGAGTCTAGGCATTTAGGGACTGTAACACTTCATCGTTAATGACTTTATTCTGTGTTTCTTCTATGTAGATTAAGATTCAGGAAACATTAACAGGTTATATTGACTTGGACTTCAAGTTTTGTAGTACTATTGTTTTTGTTTAGTAGGGATTCCATAAGTCAAGTTGTTTTCTCTATTGCTTCAGTTATTGCCAAGAGTAAATCTCATCTTTCTCCTTTTCCAGATATTAACTTATTTTCAAGTCTGTGTCAGATTTGAAAATGTACAATTGTCAGGACATTTTACCAGTTATTTAACTTGTCAGTATGAGGGCAATTAAGTGTTAAAGACAGCAGGTCTCAGTGGTCTTCCTCTACCTTCATCCTAATTTCATTTTGGTTCAGCAGCTTTTCTTCAGGCCTTTGGCTTTTGTAAGGTATGCTAATGTTTGACTAAGTTCTTATCTATTCCAGAATTGCTATTCTTTTGGGAATTCAAATTATCAGTCACTAAGCACTGAAAGTACTGTTGTCCAGGTTCAGAAAACTAGCTTGTGTTATAAAGGAATTAGGAAAATCAATTTTCCATTATGAATCATCTTCAGTAGCATTGGAGCTGAAAGAGATGTTGCCTCAAATGTCAGAGCAGTTTGATGCTAAAAGTTCCCTTGTAAATGATTTCAGTGGTTTAGTTTGCTTCTTGACTTTTAAAGTTCTATCTCTTGAGTTTGTTAAACCTGTGTAAGCAAAAGTATTTTAGGTCTTTGGTTAAATTCAGTATAAGGCACACCTGCAATCCCAGAATTCTGGAGGCTGAGGCTGGAGAATCTCAAGTTCAGCAACAGTCTGGGCTGTATAGGAAGACTCAGTCTTTTTTAAAGAAAAAACAAAAAACAAATGCAGTTTAAGAATTTATAGCTTGTGGTCATCTGTTAATTAAAATAGACATTGGCAAACTATGGTACATGGGCTGTCTGTTTTAGTGTAGCCTTTAAGCCAAGGTAGTTACTTCTTTTTAAGTATGTTAGATATCATTTGTCTATAATTAACAAGCATGATAAATTGGCTTCAATAAAACCCCAAGATTGGTTTTACTCCTTTTTCCAGCTATTTATTTCCTGATGGACGAAATCAGAATCCTGACCTGACAGGATTATGTGAACCAACTCCCCAAGATCACATCAAAGTGACCCAGGTAAGTTTTGTTTTACATAAACCTTATCATGGGAGCCAAGTTTTTGTATGTATTTTATAGAACTGACTCTATAACTTAGTGATTGGTACACTTGAATTTTAAACACTTGGCTAGATTAGTGAATTTGTGTGTATGTGATTTCTCTTAAAACCATGCAACTTAAAATAGGGTCAAGACTAGCTGCTTTCTGGTTTAATGAGGGAACATGATCACTGTTTTGACATTTTTATTTGAGTAAAATTTGTATAGAAAGTTGACTTCAATTTTCTTGTTAGTGTTTATAGTTACTGTCATTCATTCAACAAATAACCTCTTAATTTTTTTTAATCAAAGGAACAATATGAATTATACTGTGAGATGGGCTCAACATTCCAACTGTGTAAAATATGTGCTGAAAATGATAAAGATGTAAAGATTGAGCCCTGTGGACACCTCATGTGCACATCCTGTCTTACATCCTGGCAGGTATGGATCCAAACCTTACATTTTCTTTTCTACATAATTACTGCGAAGAATTGGGTATTATATATCCTTTATAAAGAGTGGCCTGGCTTGTGGAGTAAGTTTAAATTTTTGATTTCTTTTTTTTCTCCCTTTCTCTCCTCTTCATTCCTTCACTCCTCTCCTATTTCCTCTCCTCTTTTTTTTCTTTCACTAAGGCTGGAACCCAGGGCTTCAGTATGCTAAGCATGCACTGTAATTTCATTTTTATCTCTAAGAAATATATTTACTAGTAAATTAATATTTTAAGTACTTTTATTTACATCCATTACTATCATCTACTTCCTCTGCAGGAATCAGAAGGTCAAGGCTGTCCTTTCTGCCGATGTGAAATCAAAGGTACTGAACCCATCGTGGTAGACCCATTTGATCCTAGAGGAAGTGGCAGCCTATTGAGGCAAGGAGCAGAAGGAGCTCCCTCCCCAAATTATGATGATGATGAAGATGAACGAGCTGATGATTCTCTCTTCATGATGAAGGAATTAGCAGGTGCCAAGGTAAGACTGCAGTTTTTTTTAGGGGTTGTGACATAGCTGGGTGATAGAATGCCTACTTAGCATGTGTGATACCCTAAGTTTGATTCTCAGCACCACAAAAAAATACCAATGAAATAAAGCTAAAATATCCATAGGGAAAAAACTTGTATGAGCACACACCCAGTTACTCACTATTATGCTCAAGAATAGAGGTTTAGAGGATTTTAAATCTATGCAATACGCTGTATGATTTTTCTATAATTAAAATATGTTATGTTTGCTAGGTGTTTCTTGCCTGAGTAAGCTGCTCAATGTGGAGTGTTATAAAGGACCAGAATTCACAGACAAGGCTATGAAAGAGCTCTTAATGAGAAGAGAATATAGATGGAGGTGAAGCATTATTCAGCATAGGGAAGCAGTGAAATTGTTGGGTATATACTCTTTTAATTGGTATAGGCATTTAGAAGAAAGAAGGAAATGAACACTGTCCCCTTAGATATGTAGAAATTCAAAGATAAATGACAATTTCCTTTATGTGTTACAATAATTTATTCAGTCTTGATTTCCAGGCTGCCTTTTTTTGTTTTGTTTTGTTTTTTTCAGTGTGGGGTTTTAACTCAGGGCCTTGTGCTTCCTTGGCAGGCACTGTAGCACTTGAGCCATATCCCAGCCCCCGTTGCTTTAGGTATTTTTCAAATTGGCTCTAGCATTTATGTCTGGGCTGGCCTGAACTGTGAACCTCATGTTTACACTTCCCTTCTAGCTGGGGTAATAGGCACATGCTACCATGCCAAGCTTTTATTCATTGACAGGGGGTCTTGCTAACTTTTTGCCTGGGCTCTCATTGATCCAACAGTCTTCTTGATCTCTACCTCCTGAGTAGCTGGGATTATAGATGTGAACCATTGCGCTCTGCCATATTGGCTTATTTTGCATGTCAGTCTATAGGGTGAATTTCTAGTAGTAGAACTACTGGATAAAAGAATGTGTGTGTTTAGACTATGATATCTGGGCACAGTGCACCCATCTAAAAACCCAGCACTGTGGAGGCTTAGGCAGGAAGATCATGAGTTTGAGGCCAGCCTGGACTATATAAAAAGATCCTGTCTCAAACAAACAAACAAAAATCAGAAAAAAACCAAAAACAAAACTCTTGATAGAGGAGAGAGGTATAATTAGGAGAGTAGCACATGGGAATTTATTTCATAAAGACCTTAGTGGTCATTTCCTATCTGAATGGTATATATGAGGTGTTTTTATGTTACTCTTTGTAATTTATACTTCACTGTATTCTCTGTGTGAATAAAATTTGAGTAAAAATTAACTTTGGGTAAATAGTAAAACTTTGTTACTTTTTATATCCTAAAATCACCCCTGAAGGTGTGTGAAAATATAAGAGTTCCTGTTTTACCACATCCTTGTAACTATTACTTGTTATTTTAATGCTTTTTGTTTATTGTACTGTTTGTAATTCTGGGATTTGAATCTAAGGCCTCAAGCTTGCTAGGCAGGCACTCTTCCACATGAGCCACACCTCCAGCCCATTTTTGTTTCATTTTTTGTATAGATGCTTGTGTTTTTAGCGAGGGCCTACCTCAGACTAAGATCCTCCTACCTATACCTCCTGTGTAGCTGGGATTACGGCTTGCCACCCCAATGCCCAGTTTGGTTTTTTTGTTTTGTTTTCGGTGGGAGCTGGGCTTGAACTCAGGGCTTCCTGCTTGTAAAGCAGGCACTCTACTACTTGAGCCATGCCTTTAGTCCATTTTGCTCTGGTTACTTTAGATATGGGGTCTCTCTAGCTAACTGCCTTGGCTGGCCTTCAACTGAGATCCATGCAAGTAGTTGGGATTATACAGGCATGAATCACTGTGCCTGGCCTCTGATTTGTTTTTAATATAGTTTTATATAGTTAACCTTAAATCTACTTTTTAAAAAAAGCCAAAGGATAAATGCACATGAATTTTTTTTTTAAGTTTAGAGGAATTGCTGGAAGGCTTACAAAAACTGGTTTCCTGCCTTCACCCTCTCCAACTTCCCTTTATACCTCCATTCAGATTTTTTATTTTATTTTTTTGTGGTACTGAGGTTTGTACTCAGAACCTCCACATTGAGCCACTCCACCTGCCTTTTTTTTGGTGGGTATTTTTGAGATCGGTCTCTCAAACTATTTCCCCGGGCTGGCTTCAAACCGTGTGCCCAGCTGAGATTTTTTAATTCTTAAAATGACTTCCTGCTTCCATGTTTCTAAACTGTATGCCTATACTGCTTTCTCTTGATTGTTTACTAGCTCACCTCAGATACTATAGAAGAGTAGACTTATGTCTCTTATCTCCTTTCTACTCCATAGCCTCCCACTGTAGTTATTTGAATGTTTTTTTGTTTTTTGTTTTGCTTTGCTGAATCAGTATTTGGTGTTTAAATAATTTTGCTCCCTACTGTGCCAAGTAATATGCTATACTGTAATTACTTTTGCTTTCTTAATACAACCTACTTTTCCTGGAATACTTTTATTTCCCTAGTTTTTAGTTTGTACCTGTCACTATGAAGTAATACCATGTTCTCAAGCATCCTCTCAGTAGGCTTGTCTATGAAGTAAACACTTAATGCAGTAGATAGTGGATGGTACAATATAGTAAAGTGATATATAGGCATCATCCATGTTTCTTCTCCAGTCTAGACAGGTTGTTCTCTATATATGTTGCATTTCCAGTCACCCTGTGGCCTCCCCTTTCATCCTCACAGTATTTCATTGCTTCTCCTCTGTTGCAAGGACCTATTTATTGGCTTTCATGTTTTTCTCTTTCTCGTGTTGCTTCCTTGTAGGAATAGAGTATGTCCTTAAAATAGTCTTCTGTGAAAAGGTCTTTAATATCTTAAAGTGCCTTTTTCAACCCTTAAACTTTAATTCACTTGCTGTAGAATTCTAGGTTGAAAAATACTCTGAATTGTTAAGGCTTCACTGACTTGTAGTTTCTAGTGTATTTTTTGCTCTTTGGTGTCCCCTTTCTCCTTACCCTGTCTTCCCAGAGAAGATTTTAAGGGTGTTTTTGGTTGGTTATTTTTTGGTTTTGCGGGGAGGGTGAGTGTTGAGGGTTGAACTTAGCCTAGCACATGCTGAGTATGCACACTGCCACTAACGATGTCAACAGCCCCATGGTTGGTTATTTCCTTATGTGTTTCTTTTCCTTCTTTGAACTGAGTATGCAATGAAACCTTTCTTTATAGATATTTCTGTCCCTCGGGTCTTGAAAATGTCCTCATATTGTTCTCTTACTATTAGCTTTTACATTTTATTTTTTTTCCTTTTCTGGAACGTTAGTATGTGTTGGGATAAAAGAACATTGCAGGGATGATTTACCATGTTGAGCCATGAATTGAAGAGTACAGTTAGTTCAACCCTCTGCACTTAGAAATGAGGGAGGGTCAAGTGGACGATGGGCAGAGAGGACCTTCTAAATCCAGGAAACAACCCAAAGTTGTAGGAAGCACTGAGAAAGCAATGCTTTTAAAGCAGCAGTGACACTTGCTAGGGAGTAGTGGGAGATGATGTTGTTGGGGGAAGATCAGGCTTGAGCGAACTGGGAAAACCAGGCAGGAAAAGGATGTTATATGACATGGGAAATTGGGAGTTACTACTGATGTCTTTTAAGTTTGTGAGCCCAGTGGTCATAAGCAAAATAATTTAGTGAGATAAACACAAATCAGGGAGGTTGCTAGAAGCTTGTTTAATAAATCAAGTCTCATGTTGGTGAGTAGAATGAAAAGGCAGTTAACGGATCTGAGGTTCTTTTAGGGTAAAAATCTGTAGGACATAATTCTAACTAGATACTGATGAAGTGAAAGCTTAATAAATAAATTTTGACTGTCTTAGTCCTTGATGTTGAGCTGCATTTTCAGCTGAAGTGGAGCTTGTTTTCTTAATTAGGAGTAAAAGCAAGTAGTTAACCATGAGGGCTTTGTTTTTCCTCATTCACCACTAAGCAGCAATGACAGTGCTGTCGTTTTGCATAGATGCTTACAATATATATTTGTCTGTATTCAGTCAGTGTTGCTTCCTGTTGAGATGCCAATGCAAAGTAGCATTTTGTAAGAATTACTGTGTATCTCTTGACAGCTTACTTCAACAACCTTATCTCACCTACTCCTCACCTGCTATAGACTGGCAAATAGAAAAGGTTATACACGTATTTGTTCCCCCCTCCTGCTTTTTTGGGTGGAACTAGGGTTTGAATTCAGGCCTTCACACTTGCAAAGCAGGCACTTAACTGCTTGAGCCTCACCTCCAGCTCATTTTGCTTTGGTTGTTTTGGAGATAAGATCATGCAAATTTTGCCTGGGCTGACCTCAAACTGCCATCCTCCTGATCTCAGTCTCTTAAATAGTTAAGATTAAAGGAGTGAGCCACCAGCATCCTGCTGCCCCATTTACTTATAATACAAATTGACAAAATAAGAAAGATAACTTACCCTTTGGAAGGACTCAATATGCTTTTTAGTGATATTGTTGATCATGCTCAATAATCCAAAGAGAATTTATCTTCTTAGATATTTTCCTTATGGTGCCCCTTAAATGTTATTCACTAGGTAAGTTGTTGGAAGGTTTATGTCTGCTCCTTTTGTTTTATATGGTTTCCTGTACTTAATCAAAGTTATAATTTTTAGAGTAGTAAGCCAGGATGTTTTTTATAGCACTGCCTTTCTAGATGCTTTGCCAAAAGCTTACCCATATGTGATTGAGAGTGCCCTCTTATGGTAACACTATGGTAACACAGAAGTAGTTCAGGACTCTGGAAGTTTCTGAGTCAACTCAAAAGAGGTTTGCATGACCCTGAACCTAAGTTTGTCGTGTCAGTTATATTCAAATTATTTGCTATCTACAGCTTTAGGAGGAGTTGAAAAATAACTGTTCTGTAAACAACAGTAACCTGTTAAACTTCATTGATCATAGGTGGAAAGGCCTCCTTCTCCATTCTCCATGGCCCCACAAGCTTCCCTTCCTCCAGTGCCACCACGACTTGACCTTCTACAACAACGAGTATCTGTTCCTTCAAGTGCTTCTGGTCTGGGAACTGCTTCCAAGGTAAAGCATTATCCATTTCTGCATTTTTTTGTTGTTGTTGTTGGCATTAGTGAGTTTTGATTGATTTGCTTTCATCTTGCTTCTTCAGGCTGCTTCTGGCTCCCTTCATAAGGACAAACCATTGCCAATACCTCCTACACTTCGCGATCTCCCACCACCGCCCCCTCCAGACCGTCCATATTCTGTTGGAGCAGAAACCCGGCCTCAGAGACGCCCCCTGCCTTGTACACCAGGAGATTGTCCATCCAGGGACAAACTGCCCCCTGTCCCCTCTAGCCGTCTTGGGGACTCATGGCTGTCCCGACCAATCCCCAAAGTACCAGTAGCTACTCCAAGTCCTAGTGACCCCTGGACTGGAAGAGAATTAACCAACCGGCACTCACTTCCATTTTCATTGCCCTCACAAGTAGAACCTAGAGCAGATGTGTCTAGGCTTGGAAGCACATTTAGTCTGGATACTTCCATGGTGAGTCCTAATTTCGAAATTATTTAGCCTATTAACTAATGTTTGTGGGTGGCATTTTATGGATTAAAGGTTTGTTTTGGTCTTGAGACAGGGTCTTCTATAGCCCAGGCTTGCCTCAAACCCCCTATCTTCCTCCACAGCCTCCTGAATAGCTAGAATTACAAGTGTGTGCCACTGTGCCTAGCTATGGGTCAAAGTTTTGATAGGTTTTCTACAGAATTCATAAATAATATAATGCCTTAACCCTCAAGAAGTACATTTGTTTATGAGGGTAAATAAGGCAGTTTATAGCTATAACACTGAACGTCCTTTACAGACGCCATGTGCAATATGACTAGAAAACTCTCAAGTTTTTGAGAAAGGAGAGGCCTTTTCTAGGTAGAGCAATCATAAGGGCTTTGTGGAAAAAGGCATATCTGAATCTGAAGTGTTCTTTGGAAAGTAGATAAGAGTGAGGTTTTTTTGGTTCATTTTGTTTTACAGATAAATACATAAGATGTTATAAGAATACACAAGATTTGTTACATACCTAAGGCACAGGAGTGTTAGAGTCTGGTGCAGTTTTAAGATAGATTAGAGCCACAATGACAGAATGCTTAAGGTATATTATGGGATGATGGGCAGAGCAGAAATTTTGTGTAACAGAGCAAGAGAAAGGAACATTGACATTAGATTACAGAACCGTAAATCCCCCCACCAAAAGAATTTGCATTAATTTGATAAGAAATGAGGAGCAACATTTTAAAAACTAGTAAAGTAATATGACCAGAATAATGGCTTATAGAGATTAATCTAGTAGTAATAATGCAGGATAGATTTGGAAGAGTATAGATTAAAAAAAAGTTATGGTCCTTTGTCAAAGCATGTAATGAGGGGTTCAGAACTAGGTGGTGGGGGAAGAATATTTATTTTTTTGCAGGCTTATTTGTGCACTCAACAAATAAGCTTGTCTTTATAAAGTTTATATTCTAATGGAGGAAGATAGAAAATAAATAGAATGTTCACATTGGTAGTACAGTGGAGAAAAACAACTCAAAGAAGTGTATGGGAGCCAGGTGTCAGTGGCTCACACCTAGCTACTTGGGAGGCTGAAATTGGAGGGGGAGGGTGGAAATCAAGGTTCAAGGCCAGCCTGGGCAAATAGTGTGAGACCCCCATCTCTAAAATTACCATAGCAAAATGGACTGGAGAAGTAGCTCAAGCAGTAGAGTGTCTGCTTTGCAAGCTCAGAGCCCTGAGTTTAAACCCCAGAAGTCAAATCCCAGTCTCTTTTCTCCCCCCAGTGCCCCCTCAAAAAAAAAAATCAAGGAAGGGTATGGGGAGAGCTGGAGTTGGAGTGAGCATTACTAAAAGGGATGGAGTATAAGTCAACCAAGACTCTGAAACAGTAGGTTCAGTGAGTTGTGTGGATCCTAGGGGAAGAGCATTCCAGGATAAAGGGAAAAGAAATTTGGGAGAGGGTCTGTTTGACAAATAACAAAGGGATGTGGAGTAGCTGTTGTCAAGTGAGCAAGTGGGAGAGTCACTGTCTCTGAGCAGAACGAGGCAGTCAGGTTAGGTGAAGCCTTTAGAGAGCATGAAACAGAATTGTAAAGGCTCGGAAGCTCTCAGTGGGTGAGGAAACATCTCTTAAATGCACACACGAAAATTGGGGTTGTAAACTTGGCTAACTAGGGACATGTTGAATTTGAGATGAGCCTTTGATGGAAGAATTGATGAGTAGAACTTTAATGAGGAGATGGAACAGGAAGGGTACAGTTGAGGAATATGATGGTAATGACAGTGAGGTCTGTGTCTATGTTAGTATTGTGATTTTGGATGAGTTCTGTAAGACGAAAGTTCTTTTCAACACTTTACTTTCCAGAACATGAATAGCAGTCCATTAACAGGTCCAGAATGTGAGCACTCCAAAATCAAACCTTCCTCATCTGCCAATGCCATTTATTCTCTGGCTGCCAGGTAAGTATACTAAAGTTATATTTCATTCCGTGGAGTTGGCCCTTTTTTGCTAAGACAAGTCTTATTTATTACGTAGACTGGGCTGGCTTCAAACTCATGATCCTCCTGCTTCAGCCTTTCCTGAGTCTGGGATAACAGCATATAGTCATCACATCCAATTGGTTTGTATAAAACAGTTGATTTATAGAAAATTTGGAAAACAGAGAAAAGAATAAAGAAGAAAACAAAAAAATGGTGCTAGCGGCTTACACCTGTAATCCTAATTATTTAGGAGGCAGAAATCAGGAGGATCATGGTTTGAAGGCAGCCCAGGCAAATAGTTCACAAGACCCTATCAGAAAAACCCAACACAAAAATAGGGTTGGCAGCTTAAGTGGTAGCTCACCTGCTTAGCAGATACGAAGCCCTGAGTTTGAACCCTAGTATCACCAAAAAAAAAAAAAGAAACGAAGAAAACAAAAATCTATATTTGTACCATGTAGAAATAATTATTTCATGTCTTGGAATATTTCCTTCCATTCTTTTTCTGTGTGTATCTATATAAATCAGTCTTACTGAGGCTTGTCAGTTTTATTAATCTTTTTAAAGAAGCAATTTTGACTTGTTGATTTAAACAAATATGGCAGTCCTATTTTTGTTTTGTTTTTGTGGTGCTGGAGTTTATACTCAGGGCCTGGGTCTTGTCTATATCCAGGCTGGCTATCCCCCTATTTATGCTTCCCTTGTAGCTGGGATGATACACAAGCACCACTATGTTCTGGTATTCGTTGAGATGGAGTCTCAAAAATTTTTTGCCTGGGACAGCCTCGAACCTTGATCCTCCTAATCTCCCTCCTGAGTAGCAAGGATTACAGATTTGAGATGCCATGTCCAACAGTATGGGGAGTTGAACTCGGACATTTGGACTAGTTTGTCAGGTGCTGTACCTCTTGAGCCATGCTCCCAGCCTTTTTTTGCTTTAGTTTTTAGATAGGCTCTTCAGTTTTTGCCTGGGCTGGCCTCTTCTGACCCTCCCATAGTCCCTTAGGTCCCTTAGCGGGACCACAGGCTTGCACTGTCACAACAGGCTTCTTTGTTGAGATGGTGGTCTCACTAACTCTACCAGGGCTGGCTTTGAACCATGGTCCTCTGCCTCCTAAGTAGCTAGATTTAGAAGAGTGAGCCACACCTTGGTATCTGCTTTCCATTTCATTGCTTCCTGCTCTTTTTCTTCCAGTTTTCTTTAGGCTTAATTTGGTGTTTTTATAGCATCATGAGACAGATGTTATGTTGATCTGCACACAGACTAGGTGGTTTAAACAGTGGAAATTTAGTTTCTCACAGTTCTATTGGCTGGAAGTCTGGGATCCGGGTACCAGCAATGTTAGTTTCTGGCGAGGGCCCTCCCTTGTGTGTGGATGGCTGCCTTCTCTGTCCTTCCTCAGTGCAGAGTCTCTTTTTATAAGGATACTAATCCTATCAGATCAGGGTCCCATCCTTATGACCTCATCCAACCTTAACTTAATATCTCCTTAGTGGTTCCATCTCTACTGTAATCAAATTGGGGGTGAAGGCTTCAGCATGGATTTGGGGTCAGGGGGCACAAGCATTCAGTTGGTAGCAAATGTTTAGGTGGGGCTGGCAGAGTGTCTCAAGTGGTAGAGTACCTGCCTTGTAAGTGTAAGGCCCTGAGTTAAACCCTCAGTACCACTAAAAAAGACTCCAGATATTTAACTGTATGCCACAGATTTTAATATATCATATTTATATTATCATTCAGTTTAAAATACTTGGTGTTTCCATGTGTAATTGCGTTGACTTGTGAGTTATTTATGTGTTGCCTGATTTTCAGTCTTCTAAAGAGTTTTCAAAACCCCTAAGATGAGACTTACCTACATTGTTTCTTGGATACTGGCCTCTTTAAGTCCTGGGTGTCTGGTTGCTTTCTAGTGCCTTCCTTCCTTAAATAGCATATATTGCCAAAATGCTTTGTGATTAAGAGATGTGTGTGTGTGTGTTTTCAGTACTAGGGTTTGAACTCTGGGTCTACACCTTGAGCAACTCCACCAACCCTTTCTTTGTGATGGGTTTTTTCGAGGTAAGGTCTCATGGACTATTTCCCCGGGCTGACTTCGAACCATGATCCTCCTGGTCTCTGTCTCCTGAGTAGCTAGGGTTACAGGCATGAGCCACCAGTGCCTGGCTTATAATTGAGTGTTTTTAAGGTCTTTTTTTTTGTAATCCTTGCCAGCCTCAAACTTGGTACCTTCCTACCTCAGCCTCTCCAGTATCACAAGTTTGTGCCTCCTTTGCCCTTTTGAGATCAAACCCAAAGCCTCAAGCATGCTAGGCAAGTGCTCTACCACTGAACTATATTTCCAGCCTTAAAATTTTTTGGAGAAAAAATTTCCAGCAGGCACTGTATCACATGAACCACACCTCCAGTTTTACTCTAGTTATTTTGGAGATTGAGGTCTGAAACAGTTTGCCCAGGCTGGCCTTGCCCTGTGATCCTCCCGATTTTAGCCTCCCAGGTAGATAGGATTATGGTGTGAGGCACCAGCTCCCAGCTGTGATTTTTCAATAATAAAAGTAATATGTAGAGCTGGGCATGGTAGTATACCCGTAATCCCAGCACTCTGAAGACTAAGGCAGGAGGATCTAGAATTTGAGGCCAGCCTGAGCTATATAGTAAAACCCTGTCTTAAGAAAACAAAAGACAAAAAAGTAATATGTAAACATAAGGAAAAAAATCTCAAGTGATATCATAGGGGACTGTCATGTTCTTCGTTCAGTTTCTGTCACACTTGTTTTATAATAAACATGCATTGCTTTTATGAGCAGAAAAACTAATCATTAAATACATAGAGACAGATAAATGCCAATACTACTTGTAGAACATTCAGAATATACAAAAGTAGCTGGGCATTGGTGGCTCATGCCTGTAAATCTGGCTACTTAGGAAGCAGAGATCAGGAGGATCATAATTCAAAGCCAGCCTGGGCAAACAGTTCTGGAGACCCTGTCAGAAAAACACATCACCAAAAAGGTCTGACAGAGTTGCTCAAGGTGTAAGCCCTGAGCTCAGACTCCAGTACCGCAAAAAAAAAAAAAAAAAGAAAAAGAAATACACACACATATAGTGTAAAGAGGATGGGAGGAGAAACATCCATAAGTTCATACTCCATGTAGCAGTTTTGGATGTCTGTGTTTCTTATAGGGCTGGTTATTTTGTTTTTGTCTACTCTTATAAGGTGGTGTAGCGGGTATTTTGTTTCTAAAGCTTCTGGGTGAGAGTTACATATATAAGTATGATGGCAAGATCCCTGAAGCAGGAGCCAGTGGGGAAGAGGGGTAGCTCAGTAAAAGACAACTTGCCTAGCATGTATGAGATCCTGTGTTTGACCCCCAACATTACCCTCCCCCATACAAAAATCCTCAAAGTCAGAGTCAAAACAGTGGGACAGAATTGATAGTACTACCTAGTTACTTTTTATCTTGTTATTTTAGCTTTTTCTTGTGGAAAATACTGAGAAAAAACGTTTATACCCAGGCACTGGTGGCTCAAGCTATAAACCTTAACTTCTTGGGAGGTTGAGATCGGGAGGATTTAGGTTCGAGGCCAGCCTAGGCGAATAGTTAGAGACCGTATCTCTAAAATAACCAGAGCAAAAAGGACTGGAGGTGTAGCTCAAATGAGAGAGTATCTGCTTTGCAAGCATGAATCCCTGAGTTCAAATCCCAGTCATGCCCAGAAAGAAAAAGTGTCTATACCCAAAGGTAATATCTGAGAAAGCTGTTTTTTGTTTGTTTGTTTGTTTTTGAAGTACTTGGGGTTTGAACTGAGGGCCTTCACCTTGACCCACTCCACCAGCTCTTTTGTGAAGGGTTATTCTGAGATAGGGTCTCTTGAACCATTTGCCTGGGCTGGCCTCAAATCTCAGTTCTCCTGATCTCTGCCACCTGAGTAGCTGGAATTACAGCCGTGAGCCACTGGCACCCGGCTCTGAGAAATCTTTTGACAAACTATGTATTATTTGACATCATAAGTTTCAGAATTGGAATTTGCTGTGCATTTCTAACATACTGTCAGAAAGCTACCTGCTGTTTCTTGTTTCATACCTGGTGGGAAAAAAAAGAGTACTAGCTCTCAACTGGGATGCTATAATGAACTTATTTGGAAGTTGGGATTAATTAGAACCAGGTACCCATCCCTGTATAGTAGCCACACCTTTGGTCAACTGAAAGTGGAATTTGTAGTTGGTGTGCTGCTTCCTAATTACTTGCCATGGTCCGTAGAAATCCCTAGATGGCATGTGTTTTACTTTGTCATATTTGAATTATGTCTTTCTTACAGCTGACTATTTCATACAAGTTTTCTAGCTTGTTAATTCTTCTGTCATTTATTCTTCATTTTCCAGACCTCTTCCTGTGCCAAAACCGCTACCAGGGGAGCAAGGTGAGAGCGAAGAGGATACAGAGTATATGACTCCCTCCTCTAGACCTGTAGGGCTTCAGTCAGAGTTGAAACGGCCTTTGGAGATAACACAGAGTTCACGGTGAGTTCACAAGAATCCTGTTTGGGACCAAGTGTCTTTGTATGGATGATTCAATTGACATCCCTCATCTGCTTGATGTACTGTTAGCCAATCAGAATTAAAACAAAGATAAATCTATTCCCTAATGTAGCTGCAAGCAGTTGCACTTATGCTTTCTCAGTGTGATAGTGACCTTCAGAACACACACATTTAACTTGCCACAGGAGGGCTGGCAGAGGGGCTCAAATTGTAGAGCACCTGCCTAGCAAGGTTGAAGCCCTGAGTTCAAACCCCAGTACTGCAAAAACAAAACAAAAAAATTTTGTCAATCTTATAATATTTATTAGTGATACTAGCACAAAGAGAATATGTTGTATTGAGAGAATCAGGGTCTAAGGTAGTTGTGAACAGGTAAGTCTTCTTAAGTTTGCAGACAACAGTTCTGTTCCAAAAATCATTGTACCTCTTTCCTTCTGGTTCAGAGCATGTGATTGTGACCAGCAGATTGATAGCTGTACATATGAAGCAATGTATAATATTCAGTCCCAGGCACCACCTGCCACCGAGAACAGCACCTTTGGTGAGTAGCTTCACTGCTTCTTAACAATTGATGTGTCAGTGATGATAGTGTATGCTTATAATCCCAGTACAAGGGAAGCTGAGGCAGTAGTATAGTGAGTTTGAGGCCAGTCTGGGCAACATAGTAAGACTCTGTTTAGAAAGAGAGAAAATTGTCTGGCACATTAGCACGAGCCTGCTAGTCCTAGCTACTTGGGAGGCTAAGGCAGGAGGATTGTTTGAGTCCAGGAGTTCTGGGCTGTAGTGCTCTATGCCATATGGGTGTCTGCACTAAGTTCTGCATCAATATGGTAGTGACCTCCTGGGGAGCAGGAGTCCACCAGGTTGAGGATGGAGGGGGGAACCTGCCCAGGTTAGAAACTGAGCAGTTCAAAACTCTCATGCTGATCAGTGTAGAATCAAACGTGTGAATAGCCACTATACTCCAGCTTGAGCAATACAGTGAGACCCCTATCCCTTTTTTTAAATAAGTAAGTAAATAAATAAATGGAGAGAAAATCATTGATGTGCCATAGGAATGAGCCTATATTTGGCTTAGATGGCTTGACCTAAGTACAAAATTATTTTCAGTACTCTTTGGCAAAATATCTTTGATTCATAGACAAGACAGTTTCCTCGTCTCTTTCATTTCCTCTTCACACAGCTAGTTCTTATGTGCTTTTTCATTCTCCCGGAGCCTAGAGTCATTTGTGTTATATGGCCTGGACCTGCAGTGCTGGTTGCTCTTTTATTCCCATTGCGTTGATGAAATTCTTTTTTGTGTGGGTGGTAAATATTCAACTTCCCATGTTAACTAGCTCATCAAGTTGAAAGTTCAAGAAGCCTGCATGCACAGGGCCTTTTGGCTGATTTTCTGAAGTGCAATGTAGTTAGAAGTCCTGAAACTGAATCAGTGGCTATTAACTTTGACCAGAGTAACTTTTGACATGTTCAACAATAGAGCTGCAGGATTGGTACAGATTTTATTTTCTATTTGTTTTGTCTCCATCCACAGGGCCTCACATGGTGTTTGGCCCACAGTAGACATTGAATAACTGTTGAGTAAAATGAATGATTGTATGCATTCATGAATGGGTGGGTGCCCCTACGATGAAATGTGTTACAAGATGAGGTATGTCACAGGCAAAGATGACTTTCCCAGCTTTTCTTCAGGTGAAGGGAATTTGGCTGCAGCCCACACCAACACTGGCCCTGAGGAATCAGAAAACGAGGATGATGGGTATGATGTTCCTAAGCCACCTGTGCCAGCTGTGCTGGCCCGCCGAACTCTGTCAGACATCTCTAATGCCAGCTCCTCCTTTGGCTGGTTATCTCTGGATGGTGATCCCACAAGTGAGTCTCCATGATGCTTTGGGTTTTTCCTATATTATGCCTGGCTTCTAATTTATACTGAAACACATGACCTCTTGCGACAGTCAGTCAGTAGCGGACTATATGATATATCTAAATGGGAGGAAAGCTGGTCCTAAGTCCCAAATGATGAAACAAACTATTGTCAAACTCTTGAGGTTTTTCCCCCCAGTCTTAGTAAAATAAAGTAGTCCTTAAACCATGGATCCTCCCGTGTTGGGGGTAATAAGGTAGGGTTTCTAGCTCTTTTGAGTATGTATGCCTTATGACTGGGAATTAAGCTTATGTTCAAACTGGGCCTTGGCTCCCTGAAAAGGAGATGTGCTGCCCTGAAACAAACACGGGCTGGGCCTAAGGCCAGCTTACATGGGGCCTTGACTATTGAGGGCTGCTCTTCTTGTATCTAGCCACCTTGAAGAGCAGCAACCAGAGTTGCTATTGCTTTGGAGATTGAAGACAACCTTCGGGACAGCTGGTAGAAAAAAATCTACAGCATCCAGTTGCCCAAATGGGCAGTGCTCACCACCCGACCTGGGTTAATGCTTCTTCATTCAATTTAGGCTTATTTTTGTCTTCTTATTTGTAGAAGGAGGAGTTTAAATTCTGGTCCCCTCAGATTTTTAAACAAAACAAACAAAAATCCAGATGATTTTGTGAAAACTTTTGCTAAATGTAACCCTTGATACAGATGTTACATGCTTATCATAGCAACAATTACTGTTAATAGAATAGGTGCACGGTATATTTAGAAAGTGGCTCCTCTTGTGAGGAGGAGGAGGAGGAGGCTAGACCCCTAAACCCTTAAACCTCTGAAACCCAGATTTCTGGCTAGTGATGTGCTTTCCTGACATATATGGAGTCCTGGGTTCAATTTCAGCACTGGCGGGGGTGAGAGGGGGTGGGGCAGGGGGAGAAAGAAGAAAGGAGAGGAAAGGGGAAAGAGAAGGGAAGGCAGGGAAAGGGAGAAGGAAGGAGAAAGGAGAGAAGGGAAGGGAAGGAAAAGAAAGGGGAAAGGAAAGGAAAAGAAAAGAATCCAGCTTTGTAGGCTGGGGGAGTGGCTCAAGTAGTAGAGCACCTGCCTAGCAACATAGGCCCTGAGTTCGCCCAGTACCATCAAGGAAAAAAAAAAAAAAAGATTAAAAAAAGAAAAGCCAGCCATGTGATAGAAGAGCACATGCCCCCAATTGGCAGGAATTCAATAATATCTTGATTTTAACACATTGTTATTAGTACTGTTGTTATTGTCATTAAATGAGAATTTCCCCAGATTTGCAAATATATTCTTTCCTACTTTTTTCTAGACTTCACTGAGGGTTCCCAGGTTCCTGAGCGGCCCCCCAAACCATTCCCTCGGAGAATCAACTCTGAACGAAAAGCGAGTAGCTGTCAGCAAGGTGGTGGTGCCACTGCTACCCCTGCCACTGCCCCCTCGCCACAGCTCTCCAGTGAGATTGAGAGCCTCATGAGTCAGGGCTACTCCTACCAGGACATTCAGAAAGCTTTGGTCATTGCCCACAACAACATTGAAATGGCCAAAAACATTCTCCGGGAATTTGTTTCTATTTCTTCTCCTGCCCACGTAGCCACCTAGCACATCTCTGCCTGCTATGGCTTCAGAGGACCCATGAGCTAGGCTCTTACTCAAGGAGCACTTGGAGAGCAGAGGCTTCTTAGGGGACTTCACAGTGAGGTCCTGCTGTCCCTATGGGTATCAGACCCATGGTTCCAAGATTTCAAAGCAGTGGAATGAGAATGGAGCAGCTAGTATTTTATTATTGTATGATCTTGAGAGTGCATTTGCAGTGTCCTCCAGTCCCCACTTGGAGAGAGTGGGCTTTTATTACATAGCAGCCTACCTGGGGAGCAGTCCCACAAGCAGCAAAACCAGTATTGTGCTGTAAACCCTCATTGAGGACTGGAGACTTTCCTGGGTTAGGGATGTGATCCATGTGTATGTGTGTCTGTCTGTCTGTCTCTGTTTGTGGTTGTGTGTGTCCTATGATTATAAGATTATCCTGCTGTGTGTGTTAATCCCAGGCAGGGAATTAGCACAAGAAGATCAGGAAGGAATATTTAAAGACTTCCATCTACTGTGGTATTGCACCTAACCCTTGTGTACATTACAACTTCTACACTCCCCTTTGGCTTAGATTATAATGTGCATAGCAAAAATCTTATTTTTAGAAACTCTCCCTCTGTCCTTTCCCCATCAACTCCTTCTTCCTTGGTATCTGTCATTGGCGGTGGGCTTGTTGTGACCAGCCTTACTGAAACCCAGCAGCCTATAGGATGTTCTTTATAATGTGTGATGGCGTTGGTTTGTTGGTAGAGATAAGTGAGAGGGAAAGTACTGTTGCTCTATCGCTACAGTCATGTTTGATACTAGCAGCTAACACTGGTCACTCCAAAGCGCTATTTCTATAAGAACATTACATTTAAGATATTTGAACTGTCCTAATTACATAATGACTGATTTAAGATAGAGGCCTTCAAATACATTCCGTGTCCTCCACAGGAAATAGCCTGTGGAAGTCTGTTGCCTTGATACCAGGTGTGTGTTCTGGTTTAGGTCATGAGTCTTTCTACTTAACAGGAAGGGAAGAACATAGTTTCCAGGATGACTTTCTGGCTTCAATACCATGAAGTTTTTAGGACACTTCATTGATATTCTATCTAAATTCACAAAATAGACAGTAAAGATCTGTTGGTTTTTCTTCTTGTGAATTAATTTTAGTTTATATGGTATCCCTTTTTGGAAGTGAGCCAGGTTAGATTTTTCAGAAGTGGTTTTTCTTTGTCCTTTAAGGAAATGGGAATGCCACCATGGTAGTAAAATATTTTGCTGATAATTAACACCTTTCCTACGTTGGTGCCACTCAGTGACTTCATTTTCTTTTGTGCCTCAAGCTTTGCAAATGGAATATCTCTTTCCTCCCTTCCTTCCCTTTTCTTAGGTCCCATATATGATTACTGTGCTCTGCACAGTAATTATTGAAATGGATTACTCTAGTAAAAAACAGTATGGGAAAAGGCCAGCAATTTGTATAATTGGAAGTTCATAAAGAAGATTCAGTGTCCAGTTTGGATACCTGCTTGTCAGTTTCTATAGCTTTTGCTAAGTTATCCCTTGGGTTCAGTCAGTTATCTGGCTAGAGTCTCCTGCTGACTTCACTAGCAGCATGTACCTTTCTCCTTTTCAGAAGCAAGCTGGCTCACCCATAAATCTGCCTTTCTCAGGATCTAAGTCATGCTTTTGTCTTTAGGTCCAGATAGAAATGATCCTCCTTAAATCAGCTTTCTGTCCAGTCTTGGCATCTTTGGAATTAAAACCTTCTCTTACTCTTCTCTTGGCATCTAGCTACTCCAAGATCTTTGGGGTTTATCCTCTTGCCTTAGAGCTATTTATATTTCCAAAGCAGACAGTAGAGAAACTTGTGTTGATGTACCATGGTTACCCAGTGTCTCCTCTGCATGGCAGGAAACAGCATAGCCCACAGCAGGTGCAAAAGGTCCTGTGTTTGGGGTATAGGAAGGCAGGGGAGAGTGTTAGTGTATAGAAACAGTATCCTACCATCTACTTCAAAACTGGTAACACTCAGTTTTGCATGTTGTTTAAATATTGAAGACCTAGACAAAGAACTAGGAAAAAATGGCAGTTTCCAGGCCTATCTGTGTTGTAATTTTTCTTTCTTGGAAGATACTACCCATCTATTAGAAAACAAAGCACTGGCTATATATCATTTGATTTTTCACTGTATCCAAATCTTCCATCGAGATTATTATTGCCCATTGTATCTAAGCTAAAGGCAGTTTCATCTTTTCCTTTCCTGAGCACCTGCGTGACTCTTTGAGTCAGCCCTGAACCTGGGGGTCTGAGTCCCTGTGTTGATTGTAAATCATTGATTGACTTGGGTGTTAACTTGTCTGGTGTCTGAGGGCATTTAAGGTTTGGGACCATTGCTTGAGGATGCACTGAGGGTGTGCCTACACCCATGCCAGAGATTGCCAGGAAGCCTTAGGAAGATTTCATGCAGTTCTTATTTTGAGGATAAGCTCAAAATTTGAATTTGTTAGCATTTTCCTTTGACTGAGGCACCAATCACCAAGTCTTCATCCTCCATTTTCATGACAATTTTTAGTTCTTTGGTTCTTCTTCTAAATTTAACTAAATTGCCCTTTTATAAGCAGGCTTTATTTTGAGGTTTCCCCCCCTCACTTTATTTTTCTTTTTGCTAAACCAATGCCTTTTCCCCCTCCTAAATACAAATGGTTGATATAAAAACCACTTTAATGGTTTCCTTTTTCTCAAATTCATTAGATTGGTTTATTCAACTCAGTTTTCTACTTTTCTTGTGTCTTTTTGGAGAGCTTTATATTGCCTGCCTCATTGACAGTCTTGCAGTTTCCAGGACTGGACTTTCCCAGCTGTCCTTCCCACTCTCCTAAAATGAAAGGTTCTTAACGTGGTAAAAAAAAAAACCTGTGGGCTCTATAATCTACCTCCTTTTTTAGTTAAATAATAGACTAGGCAGCTTGTCATCTCAGCCTTTATCTTTTAGTATTTATTTAAACGGTGATCTCTACCTGTGACTGGCCATTCTCCTCCACTATCCCTATGTCCCCAACCCATCCTGCATATTCTGCCATTGTTCCAATCCCTTTCTCCTCTTAACACAGGGCCCACAGTGTAATAGTACTGTTAGTATCATTCAGCTGTTTTGTAGATTGTTTTTTTAAATGAGGGGTGAGATTGCTGTTCTTCAAACTTAAAATATGTTTCCTCTATAGGAAAGTAAAATTTGTTTTATAGTCCAAGCAGTAAACTTAGAAATTAATTTTGTAACAACTTGCTTACAAACTAGGGGCCAGGTGTATATTCCCTTTAAGGTACCATTAATACCTTCTAGTCTTTTTTGATGATCGGCAGTGGAATTAATGTGGAATGCTCTCCTACCTCACATCATGAAAATCAAAAGTTACTGGCCTTCCCAAAATTTCCTTCTTGCTATTTGCCTTCTTGACTTCTGGAATGACCACTGTCCACTGAATAACAGCATTCTGACCATTGGCCTGGCTATAGCAAGTTTGGTTGTTCATTAGCAGATGTGTTGAGTGCTTACTGTGTGCCAGAAATGTCAGCTATATGTTCTTCCCTGCCACCATGTGATAGTTCATTGGTGTTGGGAGATTGTGCTTGGGCTGTCTAGCACTTATATATTTGATGCTAAAATAGCTCTTCCCTGGGCTGGTAGAGTGGCTCAGGTAGTAGCAAGTGTAAGGTCCTGAGTTCAAGCCCCCATACTATTTTCCCCCTTCCCCAAAAAAGTAGGTCTTCCCAATACAATCGTACATTTTTTATTCACAGCTCTATACCTTTACTTACAGAGCTGTCCTGGTTAAAATGAGTGTAAGACTTTCCCATTGCCCTGTTTTCTTTTACAGCTTTCATAACGCCTGGAGATTCTGTGGTACATGTCTCATGAATACTCACTTTTGTTAACATACTTCAGTGGAATTTGTTTGCTGGGTTGAAAGGTATGTTGGCTCAAAATTGCACGACAGGGCATTAAATATTTAAGAAAGCATTTACCTACAGTCCCCCTTTCAATCTAGTGCCTTCCTTGATCTTTTTACCAAATTCCTTGTGTCCCTAATCCCTCTCTTTGGGAAGGTTTCCTTTTTACCGTTTTGGGGCCTGCCACTATCTCCCATTTACTATTTGGAGTTTGTTTTTCTGTCCTTCAACCTTTGTAACTCATTTTGTGTTAGAAAGACTGAATGGTGGAAGAGGGTTGGTCCTTCTACAGAGCCAGTCCAGGGATCAGACTGGATTCTTAATTCGAGTGCTCTTCTGTCAGTCTTTCTCCTTTTCAGAGTGGGGAGCTTTAGAGATTCCCCAGAGCTCATGTAACACATCACCATTCTCCTAGAACTTAAAACTTCAAATTCACCTAAAAGTAATTCTAACTCTGCATAAAGCTTTGATCTCAGTCTGCCACATGAGCTTTCTTTTCTTAATACCATTATGAGGACAAGGATTGCAGAAGCCTCTCTTGGTTAGAGATCTTTGATAAAATAATAATGTAAGCTAAAGAAAAGATGAGGAAAGTTAATTACAAGAGGTGCTGGTCCTTTGATTCACAGAACCCAAGATAGGAAGTTTAGTTGGTTGTAAATGGTGGCTAGACTGGAAATACCTTCAACTCAGTCCTTACTCCTACTTCAACAGCCTGTTTGTATATATGGCTCAAGATAGGCATGTGACAGATTCCAGTTCCTTTGTTTCATATCAGGGTGTCCACCACCCAGCAGTCAGCTTTCAGGGAAAAGTGAGGAGGTGTGGCAGAGTCCTTGGTGAGAGTGGGGCTCTCAAGAAGAGGATGTAGATTCAGTAGATAACGTTGAAAGGCCTAATACTAGTAGCAAAGCTGCTATTTTTCTGACTTTTTGCGAGTGGACAAGAACAGGCTGTGAGAATGGTCATTACGAAAATTCTTAGATTAACATAAATTCTGGACACTGTCATCGTTGTCCCCTCTCTAATTTTTTAAATTTTCCCTTCTCTTAGGAGTCTTGGCGTCCAAGACTTTCCTCCTCTTGAGGCTTAGCCTGTTCCTGGGTAGCGTTTTTCTCAAGCTCCATTCAAGCCTCAGGTCTTTAGCCTTTTTGTATTTTTAAGAGAGCAGATCACAGTTCCACTGGTGGCCACCTGGGCTTCTGGTTGTGTTCAGGTTTTAGTAACAGAATACATGCCATCCTGTGGGCTTCCTGATCTGTCCCTCCTGCAAACCCGCCCCTGCTACCCCCTTCTTCCTTTGGTCTGCTGTGGGAGGAGCTCTGGCAAGTGATGTTCAAGGCATGCTGTTCTAGGCACCATTAAAACTGCTTTCTGGAGCAAGGTGAAGAATAGATCCAGGAGAACTTACTAGGATATATAGTTAGAGATTGCAGTGTAGAATAAGTTTACTGTAAAAAGCTTTCAGACAGAATACCTGTATCTCCTCGTCGGTTGCTTGCTTTTTAATCCTATGTTAAAGTGTTTATGCGTTTTTTAAACATGCTTTGTCTTGTCTGGATTTTGGATTACTATCCATCTAAGAACCTGTCTTGAGTTGTAAAGGGATTTACTTACAGCCTCTTTAAACTGATAGAGGCATTTTTGGTGTACACAGGAGGTAACGCTTATAATCCAAACGATCTACAATCAAGCCACATAGGAAGGGTGGCCGGCATGACCTGGTATTTTGATAGTCTAATCTAGGCTCCTATGAAGGAGAGAGGACAGTGTGCTATTGTGCCTTCACAAGTGTCCAGGCAAATCTCAGTTGGTTCAAGAGGAAGTATCATGTAATTTCTGGTTCCAGAAAAGTAGCTACCAGAAGACTGAAGGATGGGGAACATAGGACAGCCAGAGCGAGCCTGCACATTTCATCAGCACAGATGGAGAGTATTTGTTGGAAGGCCAGCCTGCTGACTAGCAGCGTTGGCAGATGTTAGCAGGCCTCTGCCTTAGTACAGTGCTTAAGAAAAGATGGTGGCTTGACCACTTCCTGGGTTTGTACAGAGCCATGGCTGAAAGCCTCAGGATCCTACTGATTGCTGGCAGTCCAAACAAATTAAGCAAGTTCTGATCTCCAGACCCTGTATTCCTGATTCATCCCCACAGCTGACATTGAGGCAAGCTCCATATTGTCTCTCACAGTTTACTTTCTTGGAACCTGATGAGAAGCCAGAGAGAGGGTGTTCAGCTAACATGCTGTGCAGCTCTCAGGCTGGAGCAGACCTCCCTTGTGCAGGCCCTGGAGGTTGGGTGGGTGTGTTGGGTTCTTGTGTGTCACACTTCTTCGCTTACCTTCTGGCCCGTGGTTGGGTGAGGGTGGCTCTGCAAGTGTGTCTTGGAAACTGAGAGGTAGAGAACTACTGAGGAAGTAACCAACTCCATGCCCCCCCGCCCCCCCCCCCCACCCCACCCCCCCCCCCCCCCCCCCCCCCCCCCCCCCCCCCCCCCCCCCCCCCCCCCCCCCCCCCCCCCCCCCCCCCCCCACCCCCCCCCCCCCCCCCCCCCCCCCCCCCCCCCCCCCCCCCCCCCCCCCCCCCCCCCCCCCCCCCCCCCCCCCCCCCCCCCCCCCCCCCCCCCCCCCCCCCCCCCCCCCCCCTCTTTCCTGACTGGGCAGTGAGCTAGCGACAGGAGCTGTCTCCTGACTCCTCAGCACTTCTTGGTGTTTCGGCCTGTTTAAAGGCTGACTGAAGCTGAGTGTGGCAGGGCAAGGGGCAGCTGTGAGGTACTCCTACATCTGTTTTCTGGTGTGGAGACTGTAACCTATAATATTCTTTTTCCTTTTTTCCTTTTATTCAAAACAAAACATTTTTAGCACAGTGAAGAAAAAAAAAAAAAGCCAAATGTTTTGTGCCTTTCTAAGGCAAGCACTGGTATCCAGGGCTGCATTCTTAGGAACTAATATGGAAATAGCCAGAGGTCTGAGCTCCTCTACTTGAGTTCTTAAGCCCTAGAGATTATAGAGACAGTAAAAGAGTCTCTGTGGCTGCAGCAGTGGCAACACAGGTGCAGCTGTCTAAGTGGTCCTCCTTTCCGTCATTAAGTCCTTCAGTTGGAAAAGACCGCATTTGCATCTGGGATAGGTGGTTCCTATCAGCGGCTTAGTTATCAACTGGATGCTTGTCTCCTGCAAGAGATAAAGAAGTCGCAAAATGTCAGTACTCACAGAGATATCCAGTGCCCCGCCCTATTAACAGCCTGCCATGTGGAGAAATTGTGGGGTGGCTCCTGGAGGAGAGGTAGTTCTTTAATCTTTTCTTTTTTTTGCTGGACCCCTGACCAGCCTCAGACTTCCTGCTTTCTCAGACTTGGTCCTTTCCTTTAAAGGCTTCAAGACTTCATAAACATTAAATTAGTACTGCCCTGTACAGGGTCCGGTTTCCTCCCCAAAGGATGGGCAGGTAAGGGCACAAAAAAACGTTTTTCCATAGGGTGTCATTGTACTTAATCCTTACTCTTTCCCTTAGTTTTTTCCTGCCTTTTTAACGTAACTGAGATTGGTAGGTAGAACTACAATTCTTTTCAAGGAATCCTCCTTTATTGGAAATTTTGGATTCTTTGGCTTGGGCGGGGCTGGGAGAGAACTTGATAACTGGAATGTTTTCTCCACAAATGAAGAGTCCAATTTTGTATGAACAGTGTTAAGAAACAAAACAGACACTTAGATGAGAATTTTTGGGAATATTTTAAAAAAAAAATGTCGTTAATATAGTAAAAAGTTGTATATTAGCAGTCTTTTAAATCATTCTCACACTGTAAAAGAAAATAAGAAACAAAGGTATAATATTTTACAGAGAGTACAGAGCTTAAGATTCATTTTCATTTTAAGTCCATTTTGTTTTGCCAATTGTAATTAATCTTTAGAGGTCTGTTATAACTAATGTTATATTAATTTTTCTTCCCGATACAGTTAACTAAAGAGCTTTTTCAAGCACAATGTCTGGTAAAAAAAATATTATTAAATAAAGTTTCTTTGTTGTAGCCGACTTTGAATGTGGTTTCTATGGGCTGGAGGGTAATACACAGAGCAGCTAGAGTGGAAGGCCTTGGTGGGTACTGAGGCCTCCAGGGCAGTGCCAAGTGACAGGATTGCATAGGAATGGGGCACAGCCCCTGGCCAACAGCCTGCCTGGCCCTGTAAGCTGCTCTGCTGAGGCAGGGGACCTGTCCTTTGGTGTGCTGAGAGGTAGAACTGTCTTCTCTAGAGTAGAGCTGAAGCCATTTGCTCAGAAACAGGAAGCCCATCCCTACTGTCCACTGCAAAGGGACAGCAGTTTCTTTGGATGCAGTTAAGTTCCAGAAGCCCCCACGTCCATGATGCCCACAATTAAGACAGCAACATTAGGCTTCTGGGACAATTAAGCTTTATTTTTCTTATTCACACACACACACACACACACACACACACTTTATATAAAAAGGAAACAATTTGTAAATTTACAACCTAACAAAATCATATACATACGCACACAAACACACACAGCGCGAAGAGAGCGATACCCCTGAAGCTCTAGCCAGGCCCATATTTCATCTCTTAAGTACCATCTCCCATTAGCTCACTTTGTGGAAATTTGGTGCCAATATAACTGTAGTCTTAATCCCCATCAAGGACAGTTGACTTCATCTTTGTCTTCTAGTCTGCCCCCTCTCGGTTTCATGATTCTGAGGGCACCAAGAATACAGGGGAGCTCAAGCTCAACCACCTTCCCTTGAAAGTAGTGCCCAGCTTCCCCACTGTAGGGATGTACGTGAAGAAATGACATCAGTTCCTGGCTTCTGCCCAAAGAAAAATGTCACAAGAGACTGAAGGGTGGTGGTGTGGTGGGGGAAAGCAGGGAGGCACAGCAGGAATTCTGCAGCTGCCTCGGGATATTGTGGGGTCCTCTCCAGAGTCGGGTGAACAGCACACTGTACCAGGAACAGGTGCCCTGCCCCTGTGTATCCTCACATCAGTGGTACAGCTGAGTTACTGAAGTAGCCTGGGGTAAGACACCCCAGTAAACTGCTGGTAGAAGACGGATTTATAGCCATAGTACGTGTAAGGAGGAAACATGTCCTGCAAGAAACTCCTCCCCTTCCTGGGAGGCCAAGGCCCATTGTTAGGATGTGCATCAACTAAATGGACATGGAAATGGACTGGTCCCTGAAAGGGGGCCTGCCGGGCCAAGTGTGGTCCTTCTCAGGACAGCTGTGGTCCTGACCCTCTGGATTGGTGAGCTGGGTCTTCTTTGTTGTCCCTTTGAAGGCTTTGGCTGGGAAAAAAGTGAGCAGGAAGCCAGAAACAGTCCAGGCGGGGAGGGAGCTGTGTGATTCAGTGACTAATGCCTCAGATCGATGTATTTCTCTCCCTAAAAATGGATAGAGAGAATAATCGGGGGTGAACATGGACGGCAAGCAAGGATGGAGGTGTGAGCACAAAAAGGAAGGAGAGGTTGAAGCAGAAGCTGATGAACTGGGTGCAGCAGCCCCGAGGGGAGAAGCAGGAATGGGTATGGGAGGCCAGGGAAGGACACGGTCCCCAACTCTGCCTCTGCATTAGGGAAATGGAGGCCATCCAGAGCCACAGGCTTTGTTCAGGAGAAAGTGATGTGATAGGGTAGAGACTTTGCTCCCAGTCTTTCTCAGGGGTCCCTCCGCCACTTGCCTCACCCCGCCATCTGTGAGTACTGTTAAGAAGGCAAATGGGCCTGCTCCCCGTCTCCAGCCAAGGACGAAGGACAGAAAGAGTTAGTGTTCGAAGTGAGCACCATTAGCCCATTGCCCCCAGTCCCTGAAGATGTGTCAGGCACTGGCCACAGGAACTGCCTCCTACCTGGTCTCCTGGAGCCCTCTTGTCACCGCTGCTGCCCTGTAGGAGGCCCATCTCTTCTGGGAGCTTATCTGACTTAACTTCAACTACAAATTCGCTCTTACGAGACTCGGGCAGCGTGCTGGGAGGAGGGAGGTAAGAGGTTGGCAACTCTGGGTAAAGGAGGGGGAAGGCCCATTGGGACTGATGCTGTATGGGTGATGAGCTCTTTGGTTCTCTGGGGACAGCTCAGCAAGGGAGGCAGGTAAGGAAAGAAGGTGTGGTTGATGGACGCTGGGTAGTGGGCAGTAAAGCAGGGATCGCCCCAACCCAGCGTCCCATTCCTGCTCCTAATGGGCAAGTGGGCACCCGGCAGGCAGGGGAAAGTGCCTGAAGAGGCAGTGAGCTGCACAGCAAGAGACGGGGAGGGGATGAGGGCCTCGGCGCCAGGCTTACATCTCCTGTTTGCCCGACCGCCCGCAGGGCAGCTTGCCCTTCTTGTAGAAGTAGTAAAGGACAGCGCCCAGCACGGCCAGGACTAGGATGCACACAATCACAGCTACGATGACCACGCCCTTGCTCTCCAGCTCTGGCAGCTTTTTCTCTGTTGCACAAAGACACTTCTAGTCACTTCCTCCCCCAGGCTGCCACACTGCCCCGCCCAGCCCAGGGCTGACAGAGATGGGCCACTACTCACCTTTCTCACCAGGACTCCCTGTGGGAACAGGGCAGAAAGGGAGCCCTGGCACAGCCCTGCTGTCTTGCCAGGCCTGGCTTACCTGTGGAAGTACTGTTGGCTCTGGCATGAGGACTGATCGTGGAGGTGCTGAGGCCAGTGGTTTTGTTGAAGTCAGGTGTGAGGGTCGTTAAACTGACTAGCAGCAGAGGGAAGGGTTAGGAGAAGCACAAGTTAATGCCTGAGCCTGCGCAAGCCCCTGCCATCCTCTGCAGGGAGATGGCCCTCACCGAGCTCTAAGACGATGACAGTGGTGTTTTTGCCCAGGGAGTTGGAGGCTGTGCATTCTGCGCCTGTTGCCAACAGCTCTGGGGTCACAAGGACACTCAGGGTGCTCAGAACCGTCTGGGGATCTTGGTTTTGTTCACTTGCCTACGAGGAAGAAGACGGGGCGGGGAGAATCTCCGGTTATGGCTGCAAAGCCTGAGCAGGGATTACTAAAAGCATGGGAAAGTAGGCCAGGCCCACTCACTGTGCCATTGACATTCCAGGAGATGGTGGGCCGAGGATGTCCTGAGGCCTCACAAGACAGATTCAGCGCTGCATTCTCTTTCACCCGTACCTTCCTTTCCTTTAAGGCCATCCACGGGGGCCCTTAGGGGGCAAGGAAGAGTGAGAAAACTTGGCCAGCCTGCCCCTGCCTCCCCACCAGAGTTTCCACAGCAAAGCAGCTTTGCTTCAAAGAGTTCAAAACCACTTGACTCAGGGTGACCTGCCCAGAGGACCTCACCAAAAACTGCCACGTTGACCAGCTGTGTGCGGTTCAGGCCAGGAACAATGGGGACAGATGCCATGCACAGGTAGCCTCCCCCTGCCTCCCGTTTAAGGTTGTGTAACTGGAGCACAGAACCCTTTTCCAGCACCTGGCCTGTCTGGGATGACAGGAGGATCAGAGGTCTGAGAAGGAACAAGCTGATGTCACCCATAGCCCCAGATCCACCTGCATACCTTTTCTCTCAGCCACTGGAACTCGAGGTCCTGGTTACTCTCTGCCTTACAGGTTAGCACAAGGCTGCTGCCTTCCTGGCCCTCAGGTGCTGCAGGACTTACTTGGACATCAGACACATCTAGGGGCACAAAAATGGTGTCAGCTTGGGCAGAGCAGAGCCCATTCCCTCTTTTCCCAGCCTGGCCCCCTGGTCCTGGGCCCGCAGCTCCTCACAGTTCACCAGCAGCTCCTGGGGGTCACTCAACAGTGGTATCATAGCTTCTAAGTCCAGGCCCTGACACTCATAGAGCCCGCTGTGTTGCTTCTGGGCAGGCTCCAAGACCAGGATGCCATTGTCTGAGGTTCTCTCTTCCTCCATCTCCCTGGTGCTGGGGTTCTAGGAGAGCATGAAAGGGTGAGCAGAGAACCCCTCCTGCCACTCCGCCTGCATCTCTGCCTGTACCCTGTCTGCACGCAGCATGGGTGCACCCATACCTGCTTGTTGATGCTGAAGTGGGGCGGGGGGTTGCCATCAGCCAAACACCTGATTTCCACATGGTCCCCTTCCTTCAGCATACCCATGGGCTCTACTTCCAACCATACTTTTTCTGCAGGGTCTGTGTGGGTAAAGGGTGTGGTTGTCAGCCCAAGAGGTGGCCCTGGGCTGGATGGGAAGGGGCCAGCAGGAGTTTTCACCAGCCCACCCCAAAGAGCAGAAGAACAGGTCAGCACTCACAGAAAACAGGGACGGTGACTTCCTTAGATTCCTTCATGTGATTCCCGCTGGGGAGCCGGTAACTGAGCTCACAGTAAAAGTGGGCATCTTTGTCTTCCTTAACCAATTGTGCCTTCAGAACACTCTGCAAGGTGTATAAGCCGCTTGACTCCACAATCTGTGATGACTGAATGTGGACACCTGGACAAGGAGCAGGGGAGCAAGGTTCAGCCTCACCTCTTAAGCCCACTCTGGGGTCTCCAAGGGGGCTGATTGGGGGATGGGGCATTAAAGACCTCTGCCCCTGTACAGGGTCAGGGTCAAATGCAACCCAACACTTAGAAAAACTACACAGGAGAACACATACAAGAATATGTGCCCATAATGCTTTAGTTGTGAGGAAAAATGAAAGGATTAGAGGTGTAGCTCAGTGGCATAGCATGTGCAAGGCTCTGGGTTCAATCCCTAGCACCAAAAAATTTAAAAAAATGTTAAAAATTGAGATGTCAGACTAGTAGGAATGCCTAATTTAAACTACATCATATTCACAGTTTGGAAAATTTGATGGTAGGCAAAACAAGCAGGTACATCTAAATAGATTGACCTGGAAGGACTGCACAAAAGAAGTCGTGTAAGCATGTATGCTGCACATTACCACTTAGATCAGGGTTTCTCACCCTCAGCACTATTGATGTTTGGACCAGAATTAATTCTTTGTGGCGGGGCCCTCCTGTGCACTGTAGGATGTTTAACAGTATCCCTGACCTCTATTAGATGCCAGAGGTCCCCGTACTTGTGACAATCGATAACACCTCCAGACACTGTCAAATATCCCGAGGGGAGGGGAGAGGGCGAGGGAATGTGTACAGAATCACCCTGGTTAAGAACTGATTTAGAGTCAGGCACAGGCGGCTTACTCCTGTAATCCTAGCTACTCAGGAGGCAGAGATTAGGAAGATCGCAGTTCGAAGCCAGCCCAGGTAAATAGTTCACAAGACCCTATCTTGAAAAAAACCTATCACAAAAAAGGACTGGTGGAGTGGCTCAAAGTGTAGGCTCTGAGTTCAAACCTCAGTACCGCAAAAATAAAAATAATAACAATAATTTAAATAATAAACATGAGCCTATAGGCTTCTAGAGATAGTTGCATGAATGAGGAAATACACAGAAATAGGCCTGAAAGAAGATACTGACCAACAGCAGAGGTTACTTCTGAGAGAATCTGGTCCAAAAAGGAAAGGAATTACTAGCTTTTCTGTACTGTTTAAATTCTTAGGAAAGTATTTCCAAACATCACTCAGACAACTTTTTTCTTTTTTTTTTCTTCAGTAAAAGTTAAAAGAGCACGTTAGGTGGTTCCTATGTGGTACACAGCCAAGGACTACTCACGGTTCTTCTCCTCCTGCAGGGGCCGACCGTTCTTGTACCAGATGACTTGAGGAATGGGGTACCCATTTCTCCCTACACAGGTAGCAACCTAAGGAGGACAGGGTGTGAGTCTCCCTGCCTCTGACACCCCCCCAAGCCCTGCCTTAGCCCCTGTCTACCATCTGGCCACTCTGGTATATCTCACCTCCCCAAGCTCCTTGCTGTCCACAGGGATGCCCACGACATTGGCATGGATGGTTGGCTCCTCTGGAGCTTCTACAAAGGAAGGGAAATGAACGGGAGCACCTCCTGCCATGACACACAATTCCCTGAAGGCGGAAACGGGACACTCACTGTAGACATGGAGCTGGATACGGTGGTCCTGGAGCCGAGGGCGCTTGCTCCGACACAGGAAGATGCGCTCGTCATGAGGAGCCACCTGACTCAGGGCCAGAGTAGCCCCTGGACCCTGGAGGCTAAGGCGGTGCTGGTACTCCCCAGGTTCGTTCTGGCCCTGGCCCTGGTGCAAGCGGAAGATGAGTGTCTCCTTCTCCTTGTGGACCTGAGGGGAAGGGACAGAGAGAAGAGGGCCCTGGGCTGCCTGGGGGCAGAACTTCCCACCCACCTCTGCCCTCCCAAGTCTGAGCACTCACAGAAAACCAGTCCACGTGGCTGAGGTTGCCGGGGGAGTGTACAGGGCCACACCTCAGAAGGACCGTGCTGCCCACCTCTGCTTCTACCAGCTCCGGCTCTGGCGCGGGCTGCTCTGCCGCTCCTGGCACACCTGGGGAAAGGGAGCATTTTACCCCAGCAGCTGTGTCAGTTCCAGCTGCCCTCTGTCCCCTCCCTCACATGGCTCGCTGCAGCTGTTCTTCTGTCACTCAGAGGTTCTGGAAAAGCCCTGTCCTCTCCTAACCCTCAACTTCATCCTGCTGCCCCCCCCACCCTGAGGCCAGCCTCTCCTAGTGCAGGGGGATCCCTGGTCCTCAGGGCAGAAAATGAACACTGGGCACCTCCCAGGCAAGGCTGGCAAGGGGCAGAGAGAGGGGCAATATGGGCTCAGGGCCAAGAGGAAGGCCCCCTCCCCTCCCTGAGTGAGCTCAGAGTGTGGGAATGCCAGGCATGTGCCAGGCTGGGGCACACAGGCCCCTTTGTGTCCACCCCCAGGGGAAGACGTCACTATTCTACTCTCTATCTCCCCAAATCCTCTCCCTAAATCCCCCCGGAAGACACAGTGGGCCAACTCTGGTCAGGAGCTCCTATAGCAGCATGTCAACTGACCATTCCACGCACAATCAGAAGACCCCATCCTGGGAGTCTGGATAATATTCAGAGGTCAGGTCTCCCCAGGGGTCAGGGCAAGGGCCAGGCAGTGGGCAGTAGTGATGTCAGTGGTGCCAGCATGCTGCCAGCCTGTGAGGAGGTGATGTCACTCCACACCATCTGGCTGGACCATGGGATGCCTGGGCTTTTGCCTTTGGTTGGCTCCCAGGCAGGGTGGGCAAGTGGAGTGGTCTTTCAACCTGAGCAGAAGCCTTGGATTTCTGTTTCTCCAGAGCTAGAAGAGCAGGGCAGGGTGGGGCTAGACTTGCAGCTGTGTAGCCAGGCTTAGCCCTTTCCCCAGAAATAAGGTCAGCCCTGGCGGCAGTAGACTGGAGCACCCCAGGGACGTGGTTGGCACTGGGCACGAGGCCAGCAAAGTGGGTCATGCCCAGCCCTCCCCTTGCCCAGTTGGACAGTAGCTGGGACCGGGATCAGGAGCCAAAAGTAACACGCAACGCCGATGTGGGCCATGCAAGGGCAACATGGACCCTGGAGCACCCAGCTACTAGACGGTTCCAGAAAAAAAGCTCCGAGGTGCCAAGGCGCTTGTTCCACCTTAATGTGACCCCTAACATAATTTGACAGGCACCTTCCACTCTGGAAAGTCTTTGCCACCTGTGATCCCTTCGGCTGGGGAGGCGCGAGGCGACCCACTCGGTCCTCAGCCCCTGCCAACGCCCAGCCTGGGCGGGAGCCGCTGTCCCTCCTCCTCTCGCTCACCTCCAGCCTGGCACGAGGCCCAGGCGGGAGGGGGAGGGGTCGGCGCACCCCCTCCAGCTAGGGAAACTGCCTTTTCCAGCAACAGGCGGGAGCGGAATTCAGGGACTGGGGATGCGCTCTAGCTGCGCCTCCAGCCATGGATCCCCAGAGAGAGCACCTGCGGGAAGACCCCCAACATCAGCGCCCCCAAAGGCTCGGTCCCACCCTTCCAGCAGTCTCCTCCCCGCTTCCCTAGTCCTGCTCCCGGGATACTCTCAGATCCAGGCTGCAAACTAGCGGCGAAGAAGAGTTGCACGCGCGCAGAGCTCCTGAGAGCCGAGGACCCGGACCACGAGCGCGCGTTTGGAGCACAGATCCCCGGCCCCGCCCCGCTGCCAGCTCTGCTCCCCGACACTTTCCCCGAGCGCCCCCGGCCTTGCGGGGCGCGGGTCCCCCAGAGAACTCACTCACCCAAGGCGCAGCGACAGCAGCAGCAGGCGGCCAGCAAGAAGGCACCGACGAGCCTGGGCAGCCCCATGCTTCCCGGCCGGAGGGAGAGAGCCAAGTGAGGAGCTAGCGGCTGCCGGGGGCTGACGTCAGGGGGGCGGGGGAGGGGGCCCCGAGCGCCTGCCGCCCCGCCCCGCCCCGCGCAGCCCCCCTCACCCCCGCCCCGCGCGCTGCAGCCTTAGGGGGCGGGCCCCGGCGCGCTGGCCGGGTTGCTGCGCTCCGGAGCCGGACAGACGTAGGCCGGCGCCTACCTTCCAGACCCCCGGCATGGGAAGGTTGAGAGGCCAGTGACAGGTGTCTTGGGGCCGGACTGACTGGCCAAGGCGGCTGCGAGAAGCGGGCCGCGATGCCCAGAGCCGCTCCAGGGCGCAACAGCAGCGCTCAACCCCCCCGCTCAGCTCCAGTGTGGCCCTGGGGGACCTCCTAGCAGAGCAGCAGCAGCAGATCAGGTCCGTGGAGTCCCCCATGGGGGCCTCCCATTCAGGCTCCTCTTCCCTGCTATAGAGAAATTGGGCTGGCCTTGGTCGCCTCCTAGAACGATTGATCCGCTGCGGCTGCTGCCGGCCTGGCACTGCCCGGTGTCTCGCTATCTTGGCAGCCTTAGGGGAAGAACTGTGTGCCAGGTCTCACAGACCCAGAGGTGCCTGCCTGCGGTGTGGGGGTGGAAATAGTGCCGTCTGGGTTGTCTCCTCACATCCAAGCTCCTGCAAGTTCCTCTTTGACTAGACAAGAAAGGGAGGGGGCTGAATTCACAGGTCCAAGGTGTTCAAGCTTTGTCCACGCCCAGGCCTAGGGAACTCTGTTCCTGCCCTCTGCACTCATTGAACCTGGCCTGGGACTCAGTTTCCCCTCACCTGATTGAAGAAAAGAGAGGCAGGAGTTGAGTTGATGGGTGTAGGGTCCCCAGCTTGAGCCATAGAAACCAGTCGCTCTTCTGGATGGATGAAAGCCCCTCCCACTGACTCCCCCAACCCCATAGATCATAGTTCAGCAGCTGGAGAAGGGGCAAACAGAAGAGGAGTCAGATCTGGTTCCTGGCAGCCCTTCCTAAGCCAGGTCTGCCACACAGCACAGATATAAGAAATCCTACTGCTACCTTCCTCCCTAAACCCCAGCTTCTCCTCAGGTCTTCTGGTCTCTTGAACTCGTCTCCAGGGAGGAGGGTGCCTCTTGTTTCACAAAGACCTCAGTACCCTGGCCCTCTGCAAACACCTCATATCTGCTGGAACGCCTTCACAGCAGGGGTCTGGCTTGGAGTGGAGGTCTGTCCTCCTGTGGGCAGCCTTTCAACTGGCTGAGGGAGGAGCAGAGTGAGGCAGCAAATAGAGATGGCTAGGTGACTTGAAAGACTGCTCTGAGTAGAGTTTTGATGACGCAGAAATGACTGGCAAACCACATCAGCCTCATCTTTCAGAGCCTTGCTGAGCCCTCCTCCCTGTCCATTTGTCTCCTGCCAGAGGCTATGACAAGCAGGCTAGGGGTCTGGGGCCTGAGGGTAAGAGAGCAAAAGGAAGACCCAGGTTCCCAACCCCGCCAGAGTGAAAGGATGGACTCTGGCCCCAGGCCCAGAGCAGAATGGAATGATGAGCCTGATCGTCGGCAGGGCAGGAGTGGAGATGGCTGAAGGATGCAGAGCGTGTGCCCTGGCAGGCCAGGAGCTGGGCATGGAGTAGCTTCCCTGCCCCCCCTCCCCTTCACTTAACACCATTAACTAATCATTCCCTTCTTCCTTGCCCTGAAAACAAAGCCAGCTAACCACCAAGGACAGTCAGTTCTGAATTCTTCTTCCGCCCTTAGGAGAGTGAAGCCAGGTGGGGGTTGGAAGAATCTGCAGTGAAAGGGAAATAAGATTACAACCCAGATGACAGTCCCTCCCCTGCAAGGCTCCAACACATAGATTGTCCTTTAAAGAAGCCAGTAGCCTCAGGCTGCCTAGAAACCAGGGAGTGGGTGGGAGATGTCAGGGGTCACACAGCTTAGGGATGGTTTCATAAAGGCGGCTTTGGGATTCCAAACCAAAGAAGGGTCAGGACCTTGGAGAGGATTCAGAGGGAAAAGGAACAGGAAGGACAGCAGAGGAGGCAGGAGAGTAGGGCAGAAGGTGCCCTCTGCTTCTCTGAGACACGAGAGGATAGAGCACCAGCAACAGCAAGACTTCCAACAAGCCAGGAGTGAGACCCACAGACAGGGAGGTGGAGGAGATGATGGGCAGAGAAGGGCCTTCCACTTAGCGGAGACTCAAGCCTGGCTTGGGCTGGAAGCAGCCAAGGCCAGAAGAAAATGCCCCTGGGGGCACAGTCCTAATTCTGCCTCACTTCCCTGGAGGGTAATGAGAGATAAAGCCCCTTGGTTGACCCAGTTGCGTCAGAAATGAGAACACCCTCCTTTGCCCAGCGCCCACTGCGCTGCATAGATCTCTGATATAGGTCTGACTGCAGGCAGAGAAACTGAGGTTGGGCAGGGTGGTTCCCTGGTAGGTGGGGCTTTCCATTTCTTGTAAGGAGATGTGGGAAGAGTGGAGTTGGAGGTAGAAAGACAAGGCTGGCCTCCTCCACTGGGAAGGGCAGGCTGGGCAGAGGAAGGAAGCTGATAAAGACATGTTTGCAGCTGTGATGAGGAGATGGAGATGGGGGGGCAGCAATCTTGGCATCTGTGGAGGCTGGGGAACCCCCTGGCTGGGCCAGAAAACATGACCCAGCCTGGGTCTTTGGAGAAGAGGCAGGAAACTTTCCAGAGTTTGGGGGGGGGAGTTGATCGGAGAAGATTGTGCTAAGGAGTGGAAAACGGGGAGGGGGGGCAATTGCTGCTGCTGAGGACATCATCGTCCAGGAAACCGGATACTGGGGGGCTGGGTGGAAGATGTGGGGGAAGAGATTGAATAGGGGGAAGCAGCCCCGCTCCCTCCCAGCCGGACACAGTCTCACCCATGTCCTTCACACAGTCTCACCCATGTCCTTCGCACGCACCTGACCCAGGGAAGGAAGAAGGAGGTGTAGGATGCATTGAGGTGCCGTCCAGTCACACATGGGAGAGGGGGATGGTGGCTTTCTGGGGGAATGGGAGGGGCTATTTTTACTGTTGGAAAAATAGTGAGTTCATCTCCACCCTGGAGGCAAGGCGGCAAAGGCCCCATTGTGCAGGGGTCCAGAGAGGAGGAGCAGGGGAGGGGGTGAGTGATACAAAGGGGAGGATTATATTGGCCCAAGTGTCGTGGGGGACGTAGGGGGGAGGGGCATCGTCGTCACAGCTGGCCTACTGAACTCTGAGGTTGGGCCAGGCTGGGGCTAAGGCCGGGAACTTCCACCCTCACAAAACCCCTCCCACCCCCACTGGGGAGCTGGGGTCTCTGGCATCCGGTGGCTCATCCTGGGGAGGGGTCTGATGGTGGAATTCCCACTGCCTGGCTTTCCCAGGGACTGCAGGATCTGTTCCCAGGCTCCCAGCATTCCGGGGACTCCCTTGGGAGCTGCTGGCCCCTTCCCTGCAGAGGACTGGGGTGGGGGCGGGAGAGGAGGAAGAGGAGGTGGATGAACCAGGACTGTGGCTGGGGACTCGGGACCCTTAAACCAAAGGAAGGAGCTGCAGTGTGTCTGGTGAGGGGTATGTTGAGGGAGACCGTGACCCTTCCACCCAAGTCCTCTTGTCCCCTCCGAGCCTAGTGGCTTCTCCTCGTGGGGCAGATCACCTGCCCTACCTCAAACCCCCTGCACCCAGAGTCTGCTCCCGGGGATCTATCTATCCGAGGCGCGAAGGCTCCAGCACTAACCCCTCCAGGCGCCCCAGCTGCCCAGGTCCCCCAGGTCTTGCCCGCGGAGGCCCGGGGGAGGCGGGGCATCCGGCTGAGAGCACCAACCCAAACATTACCATAAATGCTCAGGCTGTTGCTGCGGGCTGGGCCGGCTTGGGCGGGGGACCCTGGGGCTCACCGGAAGCCCCAAATCCGAATCCGGTCTCCAAGCCTTTTCCATAACGGCCAGAGGCTGTGATTCTGTATTCAGTCACCCACTCTGTAGAGGGCGGGAGACAGGGCTGGGGATGAGAACCGAGGCTGCCTGCGGGGCGGACCTTGCAGCTGTGACCTCTGGTCAGTGAAGGCTAGACCCTCCAGGCAGGATGTCAGCCTGGGCACAGGAGTCAAGGCCTCAGTTTCCCCTGCCTCCTCAAGCTCTGCTGAACGCACTCAGCTCTTTGGTTTCTCGTCCCTAAATTCCTTCCTACTTCTCTGCCCCCAGTGTAACCTCCAGGAATGAAGGATGGTGGGGGTAGGACAGGATGTTGGGAGTTTACACCTCTCCCCCTCAGGAAACTTCACATCCGCTCCCCAAAATACCACCACCCAGAGAAAGGAATGTCCCTAGAGAGTTGCTTGTTTGACTTGGTGTTGTCCCTGGGGGAAAGCCAGCTGACCTGCAATTGGGGAGCTTGTGGGAAACCTTGGACTGCCACATTCTGGGTCTCCTGAGCCTTTTGTCCCTGAAGGACACTTGTGCATGGAGGGCACTAGTCACTGGCCTAACTAGCTCTATTTGGTCCCGTTCTGGTTCTATTTCTGCTTCACTAACTTTTTTCCTCCTGAGTCACTCTCTCTTGCAGCTCTCTGGATTTCAGGAACAACAGGACTGATCAATAAGCATCTTTAGCTGGGCGCCAGTGGCTCACACCTGTAATCCTAGCTACTCAGGAGGCAGAGATCAGGGGGAATCACAGTTCAAAGCCAGCCTGGGCAAACAGTTCTTGAGCCCCTATCTTGAAAAAATCCTTCACAAAAAAAGGGCTGGTGGAGTGGTTCAAGATATAGGCCCTGAATTCAAGCCCCAGTACTGCAAAAAATGAACAAAATACTTTATGACAAGGGGCCAAAACTACCCCCAAACAATAGCCAGCCTGGCAGGACAGATCACCCCCCAAACGAGGGTGGTTTCCTAGGGTGATTACCTATGATGGCGAAGCTTCACCCCAGAGTGCGAGATTGCTCCCCTGAAGTGATGACAGCAATAACAATTTCTCTAAAACACCTGCAAGAACCAGAACTAAGCTAATGGTACATAGACCACTGGCCTGATCAAGGTCACCTGCTCTGTCAGCTCCCATATCCCAGCCCTGCCTTTGTTTCCTTTTCCTTTTTTTTTTTTTTTTTCTTTTTTGCAGTTCTGGGGTTTAAACTCAGGGCCCACACCTTGAGCTACTCCACCAGTCCTTTTTTAGAAAGTTTTAGCCAGGATTGATTTTAGTATAACAGGATAAAGTATAGACAAGGGGAGGGGGAGAGAAAAAGAGAAACATTTCCTGTCCTCATGCAGGAAATGGGAGCAAAGACTCCCACCAGCCCTGTTTTGTGATGGGTTTTTTCGAGATAGGGTCTCCAGGAACTATTTGCCCAGGCTGGCTTTGAACTGTAATCCTTCTGATCTCTGCCTCCTGAGTAGCTAGGATTACAGGTATGAGCCACTGACCCTCAGCTTGTTTCCTTTTTCTATAAACTCTCAAAGTTCCCCTTCATTATTCTTCCCAACATGGCCTTCTCCCTTCTGGTCTCTAATTAGAGACCAGACAGGTGACAGGTGGTCAGGTGGCTGAGCCTAGTCTGTTGGGACTCAGTGAGGGCTTTTGTTACATAACTATGGTAATATACATTTCTTTTGCCCTTAGCTTTGAGCCAGCCAGGAGGAGCCCAGGAGGAAGGGGCCTGGGATCCCACTGCAGTTGTGTGTGTGTAGAGTGGGGGAGGGTGTGGGGGCAGGAAGTTGATCATGGAACTGGAAGAGGAGAGAGGAAGAAGAGGAAAGGCAAGACTGGGGCCTGTGGTCTCCCTATACCTTGTGGCTGGGGCATCAAGAGAACTTGAAAGGTGAATTGGACACAGGCTTTGGATCCAAAGCAGGACAGAAGGTGCCACCTTCCCTTCCTATGCCT